GGCGTCTCTATTGTTTCTGTAAGAGGACACCGCGTGATCTAATTCGCTTTGAATACGCGCTTTATGACGACCGATGCATCCCACAAGGAGAATGGCAGAACCGGTTCCGCTGCCTCACGCTTCTGACACATGCGAACTTCTCGCGTGCTACGCCTCAATAATAAATATTAATTAGGAGTAAGGACAACCGTAATATCGACGCATTACGGTACCTTCCTATCGGGAAAAACGATAGCGTTATCATAGCAACAATAAGTGTTTTCCATCTTTTTTATGGTTCATATTTCAGAGCATTTTCTACGCAATTCACGACATTCTTTCATCACTATATATTCGGAAAATATCAAAGAAAAGCTATAATGTAATAATTATAAATAAATCGCTGTTACAAATGCAATCGATTGAAACGATATCAGGATGTTTGTCCGTTTATTTACGTCCACAAAGTTGATAAAATTGAATAAATAAAAATAGAGACGGATTATTTTGCAACAAGAAAATATTTGACCTTGTCGAGGCAAAAACATATATGTGAATTTCTACGCGATAAAATACAACATTGTATGTAACTACGAGGGTCATACTGGGAGCCTAGTAGTGAAAAATACGTTTTGTTACAGCCGTTTAGGTCTTTGAAAGTCAGGGAATACCCGTAATAATAGGGAGTAGAGCTTCTAAGAATTAACGGCTATATTTCTAGATACTAAGGGTTGAGGCTTTTAAATATTCATTGCACGCTCGTCTTTGATACATTTTAATAAATTGCCTACTACGCGTTAACGACAGTGCTCCATTAATTAAAGAGGACATAAAAATAGCTCCTCAATTTATTTTAGGAAGCGATAATGCGCTACCCAGGAAAATAGCGAATACTTAGCCGATTTTAAAAGAAAAAGGAAACATTGAATACGCGTGTGTGCAAAATAGTTAAGGAATTCTAATGGAGCGAAGACATGTTACTCATAACTGCATGTAGTAATTAAGACGTCACAGCTTATTTGAGAATTAATCTTATTCGACGTCATTGGTGGGCGCGTTAAGATTGAACAAAACGAGAGTTGGGAAATTCTCATAACATACAGCGTCGTCGCTCTAGTGTCCTTGTGCAAATATATTAGAGCAAATGCACTAAGAAAGAGTAATGCAATAGATAAATATTAGATATTTAAATAATGATTGCACGTTTCATAAACTAATCTAATATTAAATAACCAAGTTTGCTTTGACAAATACTAAACAGCGTAAGTTCGAGAACTTGTAAACATTTCGTACTGTATAAATTTTTAAGCGTTGTAGCTTAAGCTGAAGCAGCATTATAACTTAACACGCTACGATTTTTACTGCAAGCTGGTTCACGAAGATAAAGGAAAGCCAGATATCAAAGTTCACCTATAACGTCTTACCGACCACTTAACTTTTTAACTACTATTATAGGAGCAGTTAAAGCAAGTGGACCTTTGAAGAGATTGCTTCTTGAACTTTCAGACGATACGCACTTGTGCACAGTGAAAAAGCTACTGGAAGGGATAATATTTACAGGTCAGAAATTAAGATTCAGCCATACTTTTGAGAGACACCCTTAGCGTGGTGGTTTTTGAGTAGTTTGGGGTTTCAAATCCATCCATGAATAGATTAAACATATCTTAAATGACGTAAATAAGTTGATTATTACTACTTAATCGCATCGACTATCGACGCATCTTTGGCGAGAATTTGAGATACCAGCGCCTCATTAGGTAGCTTAAGAGATACGAAATACAGACACACGTACACACAACCTGAACATAAACATTGAGCATAATCTTCACCTTCATATGCAACGCCGGAATTTAATCCCGAGGCAATAAAAAATAATAAACAGCGTAGTGAAAACTATTAGCAATAAACGCACAGTACCCATAATTTTATCTGTATTTCAGTATAACGGTGAGCAGATAGGTGATCTTATCAAGCCATATTAGTGTTAAATACTTGTGATACGGTATAAAACTGTCATAAAATCGATGACAACATTTTTGTATTCTTACTGGACTGATGCTACGTGTCTGGACTTCTGGAACAGATGGACATGTTTGACAAAAACAAAAACTATAAACGTACCTATCTTTTTCAAGATGACTAGATCATCAGCCGTTTTGGGGCGGGAGTGGCGAATTTCGACGTCCGAATTGACGGTGTAAGTGCCACGGCGTCGGAGCATTTTCACGAAAATAATATTCAAAACACAACACTGTAACTCTAATCACATCGCGGAAATGAAAAGAACTGTAATTTACGTAACACTACTTAACAATGCGAATGTAACTTCGCAACAGTAATCCGCGTCGGGCGTTGCATCTTTTTAGAAACACCGGAAATAAACGAGATCGAAACGAGTCAATTAAACTGGAGCTCGATTAGCGCGGCGCGCTGCGCTGGCGCACGGGCCACGGTCGCTAACTCGTGAGTGGTCAGGTGAGCGAAAGGCGATCCGAAAAGCGTAAACACATGTGTGAGTGAGCACAGAATGGCAGGATGGAGTGCTCTTGCCTCGGCCGAATGTGATAGCGAGATCGCCGACGCTCACTGAATCCACTGATAACATTGGCGATAACGCGAACAAGTGACTATGTCAAATAAAATTAGAAACAAACAGATGTAATTCAGCCGTATTGGACGTCACCGGGTTGGAACTGCACATATTGGCAATTGTCAATTTAATTACATTGAGAAAGGCACCAGGTTTGTAATTATAACAATAAATATTCTGCTAATACTATTTTTTGAATAAAATTATAACTACGAAAATAATTGTCATTGCTGGGATATTTAAAAAAATGCATTTATTGTTTTTTACAAACTCTTGTTTTTTTTTAAATATTTGAGCGCAATTAGCATATCACTACTATTAAAGCATGAACAAAGCCAAGGCCATGATGTAACTATCATAAAAAATTTACAGCCGCCTTTGCGGACACTAAAGTTACTTAGTGCTTACAAATTGGTTAACTACTTTCTTTTTTTAAGGGATATAATATAAATGAAATAAGTAAGAATGTATAATTTTGACTATGTACTAAAGAAAATCATACAAACTGAATTGTGTACATAATTAAAAATAATTTTTAAATATAAAATATTATGATAAAGTTTAAAAAAAAAAGATGAGAACCAGAAGTTTATAAAAAGAAACAATGCTATAGTTTGAAGTTTGCCAAGTTTTTGCGGACATTGTACAAGTAAGGTCAATGTATTTCTTATGTTAAATCTCAATTGATCTCAAATCTGAATGTCTAATAGTCATATATATAAACTTTTTGCAGGATATATTAATTAAACAAAGCAAAAGAAGTAACCAATTTAAAGACATTCAAAAGTGTTGATTGAATGTTGAATTAAATGCAAGAGATATTTAATTTATTTATTAAATGCAAGATCTTGTATGTTGAGCTGAACAGCTAAGTAAATGAGATATCTTTCAAAATATGCTTCATAAGAGCATTTTATATAACATGATAAATTCATCTCTTTAATTAAACGTAGTTATAGCGTCTTACATAGTTATTTATTTTATAAAATGTTAGATTTCAAGTGTGTTTTAGTTATTTCAAGTATTTAGCAGCTGTCTTTCATAAAAACATTAGCTAATGAATTATGAATAAGCTAACTCAAATGAGTGAATGGAAACAAAGAAGATTAGGCAATAATTTTCCTAACCAACATTGATATTTTAGAAGGATATATATAAATGTAAATGTCTCAGTCCCGCCCTGTCATTATTAACTATTATTTAAATTATTTTGTAAGTGTGAAGTGGTGCAAATTATATAATTAGATGTGCGTATGTCTTATTTATTAATGTCTGTAATATTTATTAAGAAGTTATGATATAATATATGGATAAATATATTTTTTTTCTATCAGGGACAGATAAAGATCCAGGCCAAGTGATGAGCTGACCATTTCACCCATTTCCTACCTGCCGAATACTTTTGGGTGATCCAACTCTCTCTCTCACTGTGATATGTGTAAAATAGTTAGCAGATAAAGGGACCTGGTCACCAGGCCTTCTATCTGTCCCTAATAATAAATAACATAAGTACTAAAACTTATAACACTTAGCAATAAATAAATACTAAACATTATACTATTATAGGAACTTGAATTCTAAGTCAAATAATACTTTACTTCAACTAGTATAATACTGATCATGAGAATATTATGTGCTAAGGATAAAAATGTTTTATTACATACCAGAATGAATTTATGGATTATAAGTTAGGTAAGTATAAAACTTGTGCACTTTTTAAGTCTGGCAGTTCCTAGTTTTACACACTGAAATATCTATTGTGCACTATTAGCACCAAAAAACCAAAGTAGTCAAAAAGCACCATAGTTTATGATTTCAGACCTTCTCGATAAATAATCAATTTTTAACTATGGGTCAGCTTTGATATTTTTAAAGTTAATCTGAAAACATTGCAATTCAATGTATGTGCATATATTCATTGAATAATTAATTTCTGAAATCCTTTGCAAAATATATGTATTTTTACAAAAAATACGTTATACAGATCATTTGTCACAGTTAATTTTACATACACTAATTTTATAACGCGATGTTATAAAATATAGCCTAATAAAATAATTACGTCATTGAAATGTAACCTAACTAAATCCAATAGTCATTAATAGTTTTATATTGTTCATTTTAAGAGCTCAACGACGTTTAAGATAGATCTATATCTCGCTTTTTCCAATAATTTCAAATTTGACATTATATCTGTAATCTGTCAGAGATCGGACCAAGGCCTATGTGGCAGCTACGATCGACGTCCTAAAGCCATTATTAATATAAAGGAAACAGATTTTTTTCCGATATCGATTAAATTTGCTAAAGACTTAGGTTATACAAAATCTACGCAGATACACTTGTTTAAATGTAATAATGTATAGCATTGGGAAACGTCATAGCGTAAGAAATCACGATGGCCGACAAAGAATGGTTAAGTGGTACTCACTACTAATTTTTACTCCGCCTAAAGGTGGTTTAGGTGGTTGATTTTCAAATGTCTTTCGAACGGATTTGCTGCCCTCGGCGAATGACGTGGTCCTAGGGCGCCCGCTCATTATTATAGGTATAAAATAAACGGCCCAATCTTGAACTTCATAGATACTACTTCACATTTCTCGTTACCACCCTTGCTTGCACTCGCACTGAACTTTCTCACTTAAATCACTAAATACAAAATAGTTCATAAGATAGTCAAAATTATATCACAAGAACAAATTAGAAGGGTGACAAAAAAATTATATGATCATTTTGTTAGGTTTTTCAAATTTACATCAATGTAATGAACGACAAATTTTAATTTCTACGGACTAATCGGAGTCGGACTTCACAGCACGGCACAGACTTGTTCGCTGTATCGTTCACTCATTCGGCTATTTTCGGCGGTCGGTCGGATGTTCGATCTCTGACATGAAACTCTTTTTTCAATACACGCAATTTTCGATATTTTTTAAGCCATTGAAGTTAAAATATTAATATTAAAATTTAGTTTCACCTATGAAATATGGTTCAAGAATATTGATTAAAAAGTTTAATATATATACTGTTGTGTCTTAGTTCATATTAACTCATTTCTTGCAACCTTTTGGTGCTTATGAATGTCTTACTTGAACTTTAGTTTATTAATTTGACTTGAAAAATTGACAAGTCGTTTATGGGAATTTATTTAATGTGATAATTCTCGAAAATAATACTAATTTATTCTTAATATGGGTACGGACAGTGACACGGAACGTTATTTTATATGTGACGTCATAGCTACATAGAGAAGTGCTACAACCACAGTTTTGTACAATAAGAATTATGACACTATAGTCTATGTTTCGGTTCAGTCTGTATTTTTTAACCACAGAGCATTGTAATAGAAGAGTAAAATTGGATAGGTATTATTCATGTTATGTATACAGTACATAAACTTATCTACTAAATTAAAATATAGTTATATTTCTTTACATGTATCCATTCTTAAACAATTAAAAAAGTTGATTTAAGTACTACCTATGATTCGCTTCCTATTAATTGCACCGTAAAGGCTATGTAAGATACACCGATATAAAATTTTAATAAGTTTTAATTAGCCATACTTAATTCCTTTAATGATCGATGGCAATAATAATTTTATTAACACCAATACAGAGAGCCGGTCTAATTGTATAAGCTTTTAGAAAATACTCTTGTGCCTGATGTAACGTTTTAATAATGATGGAGAATTATGTTTTCTTTAATTACCTATATCAATCAAGAAAATAATTACTACTTGTATGCTAAAAATTGATAAGACTGACTGAGAGAAGACTGATAAGAAACTCCTTAACGTTATTTTTTTTAATTTCTTGTTCTAATTGAGCAGAATGAGATAATTGATGACTGAAGAAATTACCAACGAATATTGTATCTTTATAAAAAATAATCTACAACCATTAGTAAACTATTAAAGTTTGCCTTGTCAATAAAATATATTTTTAATAATATGCGATCAAGTTATCTCTCTTCAATAATGATAACCGATGTCTCGTGTCACCAAGAAGTAAGTAACATAGTGTTAAGTACTTGCCAGTCACATTAGTTGCGCGTGCGCCGCGAAAAAGGCAACACGGTTGCTGCCCGCTCAAAATCCGTGTTGTGATGTAAAGCAATAAAAAGAAGCTCCGATTTTCGCTCATTGGTAGATCATAAGGAAATTTCAAGTATGGAATACTATTACACCTCGGACAGTTGCGACAGTGATAGCAGGGAACAAAAAACCTTAGACCTCTCCCATAGGTTGTTGGACTGTGAAACGATAACATCTGAATTAAACAGCATTATCAACGAGAAGAATTGCGCGGCGAATTTCGAGACAATCTTGCTTTACAACAACAGAATAAAGGCGCTGCCTAGTGCTCTAAATAGGTTCTGCAATTTGAAAATCCTGGATATTAGCAACAACAGGCTGACCGTTCTTCCGGATATTCTGAAAAATTGTGCACTGACGTCCCTAATAGCAAAACACAACAACTTAACAAATGAGTCGCTACCGAAGTCTTTCTTCTCAGCTAAAAGTTCTCTAAAGGAGCTAAACTTGAGCGGAAATCGACTTAAATTTTTTCCGGAACAAGTGCTGGAACTCTCTTCACTTAGGTATCTTTATCTTGGGGCGAATAATATAGTTAACATACCTAAAGATATTTGGAAATTGAACAGGTTGGTAAAAATTGGTTAAAAGCCTTTTTTTTACATTTGCAGCACTCAAAAGAGAAATACCGAAATCCAACCTTGAATATTTAATTGAACGATGAAATTACACCCTTGCTTCATGTTTAGTACACGCAATAAGCTTTCCGAGCGTAGATCGAAATACAAAGAAGCGTGTAAAGTTTATAAGTTTATTATTTATTTCGTGTTTAAATATGGAAAAAATGTTACGCTCATTTGAAATTGAACAGATTATTAACCATTTTTATGAGGGTAGAATCCCCAATTTCAAGTAAGTATTCTGGTAGGTAGGTACTCTAACCAGCGCGGGATAGTTACGCAGGCTACTAATTGTTTTGCCAATTAAATGTAAACATCATTTGTTCTGTTATATAAATATTCAAAACATTGTTTATTACGAAACAAGGTGATAAGAAGGCTTCTTTATACTTTATCCTCCTCTCAACCTCAAATGAAATACAAAATTATTTACGCCGTTTTCAATAAGTAATATAGTATTTTGTACACAAAACAATGATGCGAAGTTTTAAATTAAGATGTGTAAATGTTAACTTCCAAAATATTAGTTAATCTTAAGGTGTATAAATTGCTTTCGGGTGTAAGAAAGCAAATAAGATAGTTACGATACTTAGTTGATACCAGACTTTTGTCTTTTAGTACATTGTGTATAAATATTTTGCGAAACCTATAGCAATATTCTATTTATTTATCATAAAATTACAATTGTTTCATGTTTTCCATCAATAAGTGCGGCGTTGATTTTGATAATCTCAATTTCTAATCGGCTATAGAAAGAAGTTTTTAGTATAGATAAGTTATCACAATATGACTTGCAATTCGCGAATATTAACACCAGTTTAAAAAAATCGAAAGATTACGCAAGTCATAAATTAAATCTGGTGCTTACTGATAACACAGTGCACACGCTACTGTTTATTTCCTATCATGAAATTCTACACACAGTACTTCTACAAGACATTAACAGTTATTACTAGGGACCCTAGAATATCAGCTAATCTAGACAAAGAAGGTGAATCAAGCCTTTTCAAGCAGACCCATGAAATAAATACAATACATATGTAAATATATATTTACGCCATATTATGCTCAATTTTGCGTTTTTGTATAAGCCTATTGTGATCTACAGAAGGCCAAACATTGCTAGTTATTGCTGCATTCATTATTTTAAAATTTTCAGCAGGTACAGGTCCAGATCCGTACTTGTACACCGGCGAAGTATCCCCTATGCGTATCTCAAAATGTTTAACTTAATTCTTCCAGTCTACGTATTCTGTCGATTGGTGGAAACAACATCATTGAAGTACCAGATTCCGTTGGCGCGCTAAAAACACTCCAGGCTTTAGTTCTGAGTGACAATCAAATCGAACAGCTTCCGGCAAGCATCGCTAACCTTAAGCAACTTCGATCGCTACTAATCCACAAGAACAGACTCAAGACACTACCCACGCAGATAATCAAATTAAAATGTTTAACTGAGGTGAGTTTGACTAACTTCAGTCATAATAATTTATCTTCAATATTGTTATTTGATCAATTGAAACTATATAGTTCGCGCAGCATTTGTAGTCGGTGTAGAATGTTAGACAAAGTTTAGTGTGGTTTTCGGTACATTTGGTTTTCTAAACCATAATGGAGGACATAGGGGTTCACTTGATGGGAGGTGAAATACCCCAGCCATATAACATCTACACAACATGCGCTGGCGACATACTTCGGCTTTGGATATTTAGATATCCACAAAGTAAAACCGAAACGCGATTAAACTCCACGGCTTTTTATCCGTAGAGGGTATTCGTGATCGGAACGGAATTTTAATATGCCTACTACCCACTTAATATCCAGATTGCCACACGAAGTCCAGCATATGTCAGAAAATGTATAAACATGTAGGACCCTAGTGGGGTTCGAACCAACGACCCGTTGATCATTAACTATACCAAACAAGCCGTCGAACCTGGTAAATCCTACTCATTGATTATTTATATTTAAAAAAAAACACTATTTCACGTTTTTAGTATACTATTTATTTTTACGTACAATACAATACGGTGTATACTATTCTAGCGTCTACTCTAGGAACCTCTCTACAAATTGTTTAACATGTGGTATCAAAGTTCAAATTGGCAAAAAAATAATTAGCGAAATCGGTTCCCCTGTACTCGAAATTTGCGCATCTTTCGCTCTATGTGATGTGTGCTGATGTCACTTGTTGATATAATTATTATATTATAGACTATTTTATTTCAGTTAAGTCTACGTGACAATCCGTTAGTGGTACGCTTCGTTCGGGAAATGGCTATCCAACCGGCGTCACTTTTGGAGTTAGCGGGGCGTACCATCAAACTCCACGAGATACCCATACAACCCGGTGAAGTTCCCCTAACACTCACCAAATATCTAAAGTCTGCACAATGCTGTGTCAATCCTAAGTGTAGAGGTACGTCTTCCGCTTATCAAAACTATGATAAAATATTCTAGATACATATTTTATCACCATCAAAAATTTTGTCAACAAAGTGCGCACAGAATTTATATAACATATTCAATATCTCGTTTACAGGAGTATTTTTCGACAACCATGTGGAGCATATAAAGTTCGTTGATTTCTGTGGACGTTACCAGATCCCACTCTTGCAATATTTATGCAGCTCTAAATGCATCACGGGCAGTTGGGAGAATCGAGAAGCGGAAAGCAGTCCACCAAGCCACATGATGAGAAAGGTTCTGTTGGGTTAATCCTTGTTATGTACGAAGTTGCTGCCACAAACAAGATAATTGTAATATGTTGAGAATTTCTTTATATTAGTTACCTATATACTCTCATGTGATCATTGCTTTATCTAACATATTTCACGTCATAAGTTTAGATAAAAAAAGGCATAAAATTGTGCATTTACCTCTATTTCTTGGAAAAACACTACAGATAAGTGTCTATTTGTAATCTATATAGATTTAAGGTTTATACAAAGAAATTGTTTTGTTAACGAAAATGTAACTATTTTTATTGTTGTTGTAAATTGTATTATAATATTGATTCATAAACTATAACAAATTATGTGTTTTCTTCATTCTCTTGCAAAAACTTCATTCGGGCTTCCTTGCCCCTCTTAATAGCTGATTTGAACAGGTTACAGTATAATTCAATTGCTGCTGGTGTATCATCATTTCCTGGTACAGGATATGTTATCAAATTAGGATTGCAATTAGTGTCAACAATCCCCACAGTTGGTATCAACATTTTGGCACTGTCTCTCACTGCTGTGTGTTGATTTAGGATATTGTTTTGGGTGTTCAAAAATATACATAAGTCTGGCAACCTTGTGATTGCACCGAATTGATGATTAGCATTTGTAAATATACCACCCTTCCAGAACCTTGTGTGAGCATATTCGCCACACTCTAAAGCTGTTTTTTCAACTGTATGTGCATTTAAAGAATTTCTATTGAAGAAACAAATGATACCACCCCTGTATGCAATGTGAGCAGTAAAATTAAGAGCTTTTCTTAAATGTTCTGCAGTTATGTCTAGGTCAAAAATAAGGTGGCCCTGTCTTGAACCATATAAATAAGGCGCCATTAATTCATTTAAAGAACCTTCTTTGTGGCCAAAGTGAACTCTTGCACCAAAAAGGTCTTTTACAGTGAATAAGTTATGTACTTGAAAAAAATCAGGATGGTCCAATGGACTTTTTGCAGATTTGATTTCTGAAACATAAACATTATGGTGAGTTATATTCTATGAAATTTTTTAACAGTAAGCTATGGTTATTTGTTTAATAATATACTTAAACAAATAACCATAGCTATATATATAGCATAGATAAATTGGGAAAAGTGCATACGTGCTTCTTCTATTGTTATTTAACAACAAATGTGGCTGTTCTTTTTTATAATCTTGACATTCATAACATGATGAAGACTTTAAAAGGCCATATAAACTACTACTATTAACCATATATTATTTATGATAAACATATACCCTCATTTGTTTTAGACTGTTCTAGTGGCTGTGCGGCGGTAGAATTACTACGGTGAAAAATACTGGCATTTGGTTTAAGTTTACCTAAAAATAGAAGAATTACCAAGTTTAGGAAAACCCAATTGTAATATTAATCATAGGATCGGCTAAAAGTATACTTACGAATTAAAATTCTAGGATACATGGTGCTGATCGGTTAATTTGTTAATAATAATAAAATAAGGCTAACTATATCCGTTTTAATCATTGGTTTCAAAAAATAACCTTTTTGAGGTAGCAAGTAGCAACCAATGTTTGGACTGATTTGTATATTTCACTTTACTATATAAGTATCTAGTCAATTGTCAATCGTGGAGACCTTCTTCTTCTTCTTCTTAATTTAATGGCTTACCCATTCTGAATGCGTACCTAAGCCATTAAATTCTTCTTTTTTAAAATTATTTCAATTTAAATATTATATGGCTAAGTAGAATGTGCCAATGTCACATTTTCGTAGGAAAATCGACGAGATAATATTATACATTATCAACCTTGGTTTGACGTTTTGAATTATTTAGAAAAATATAATCTGTGGAAATCTTTAAAATATTGGAGTTTGCTTATGATAGCTTCGAAATAAGATTTTATGAGATCGTTCTTGTATGTTTATATCAAGTTATTTGTTTTTATTTAATTTTAAAGAGAGTTTAAAAAGACTCCATAATGAATGCGAAAAATATAGAGGATCTTGATTTGTATTCAATTCTTGATATTAAAATAAGTGCAACAGAAAGTGAGGTAATTTCTTAACTCAACTCAATTTAATTGTTAGCTTAATACAAAATAATATGTCGAATATGTTTTATATATATCAAAAATATGTATTTTCAGATAAAAAAAGCTTACCGTAAGAAGGCTCTTCAATGCCACCCCGATAAAAATCCTGATGACCCTAAGGCAGCAGAGACCTTCCATGAATTGTCTCGAGCATTGGAAATTCTCACTGATAAATCAGCCCGTAACGCATATGACAAAGTATTAAAAGCAAAGGAAGCTGCAAAGCTGAGGCATAAGGAGTTAGATAGTAAACGGCAAAAACTTAAAGAAGATTTAGAAAGAAGAGAAAAAGAGGCAAATTCAAGCAGTAAAACCAACCTAACAGATGAACAAAAATTAGCAGCAGAAATAGAAAGGTTACAAAGGGAAGGCAGTAGATTATTACTTGAAGAACAGCAAAGAGTAAAAGAAGAAATTAAAAGAACAATGGGTCGTCTTAGTGAACCTGTGTGGGACTCAAGTTTAAATCGAATTAAAATAAAATGGAATGCATCAAAAGAAGACATAAATAATGGTGGTTATGATGAAGTAAATTTGAGGCAATTTTTTAAAAAGTATGGAGAAATTGCAGCATTAATAGTATCACCAAAAAAGAAAGGAAGTGCTTTAGTGGAGTTTACTACAAAGGAAGCTTCAGAAATGGCTGTAGAATATGAAAAAGGTAACTTTTTCTACTTAGATATATATTTTTGTATATTTACATGAATTAAAATTATTGCACTACATTGTTAATACACATTTCTTAATTTTCTGTGCTTAACTTGTCTGTCTAAGGTTGTATAGATTATAAATGGGTTAGGTATGCAGGTATTGCATATTTAAATTATTATTTTCCTTTGCTGACAATTTCCCCTGTGTATTTATATAGTGGATATGTGTATTATAATCATGATATTTTCTAGGTCTACCTGACAACCCCCTTACCTTGAAGTGGATAAATGATAGGCCAATTGTAACAACTAAAAAAGATGTCAATGAACCATCCCTTGTGTCAGATAGAGATTATGAATCAATAGTTTTGACAAAAATGCGCCAAGCTGCTGAACGGCAAAGGCTAATAGATGAAATGCTAAAAGAGGATCAAGGAAAATAAACACATTAAAATAAATTTGTTCTTATTTATTCAAAGATATTTTACACTATTCACTTCTTACACTCCTTTCAAAGGGCTTCCAATCACTTATAAACTCCATAACTTTCTTCCTCTGAACTTCTCCATATTCTCTTTGAACATTTTTCCATGTGGAATGGTCTAAGTCCAACATTCCAGCTATGATTTCCTATAATAGAAAAAAAAAGATGTATTTATAATGCAATAGAATATAGCATTTTGTATCTAATTACTATGAAAATTAATGATTAAAAGTCACCTCTCCAAATGTCCTTGGAAACAATTGTTGATCTTCTATTACATGTGCAAAACCAGGATCCATACCAAAATCAACCCAAAAGTAGGGCAACCCTTTCGGTATGCCTTTGCGAATATTCTTTCCTTTTAGGTCAACTACTTTTTTATTCATGGACCACTCAGCTTCACACTCAAGCAAAGCCTTTTTGAAGTAAATAGATGCCATGTCACCTACGTCCCGGGGCAGTGGGACACAGTTTATCACAAAATGTGGATATCTGTGCAGTTTAGTTGCTGTTTCATAGAAAACAACATCTTTGTTTTGTGAGTCGAAAAACTGTGTTATTAACTTTCTATAATTCTGAAATACCAATTTAACATTACAACAATTATAAAAAAATATATATATAACGTTAGGTCATGATAGTATAATTAAAGAAAACACTTTCAACAGTTTCCATAGTTGCTGCACAGCATCCAAACTTAAAATCATTTAAAATTAACTTAACTAATATATTTCGCGTTTTAAACTGTCAAGTGTTTTATTTAAAGATGAATTACACGCATAATATACACACAAGTATAATGTAAGTAATTTATGAAATATAATAGAAATTTGTTACTTATTTATGCTCTTAAACACAAAGTAATGTGTTTAGAACTTTGGTGAGTACTTAGTTTTCAAATATAAAAATTACCATCATTTCTTCCCATACATCTTCATCTAATGCAGTGACACAGGTGGCATGTTGAATAGTAGTTAACATACAATGCCCTTTCACAAGAGATTTTCTTGTTGGCACTGCCATGTATACCTTATCACCGCAACTTATAACACAATGTTTAACCATATTCTTTGAGTCAAAGCAAAATTCACACCCATCTAGTGACTTATTCAACTTTATGCTCTGGTTTATAGATTGCTGTTTCTCTCTTTCACTGTCTTTGGCATCACTTCTACTCTTAGAAATCTCATCCGTGAAAATGTCTTCCAAGTCGTCATTTGGATTTTTGCTTTTACTTGATATTCTAGCTAGTTCTGCATCTGCATCGTAATTTGAACCATATTTCTCTTGTTGGAACTAAAACAGAATAAATTTCATATAAAAACAAAATAATGAATCAATTGAATTATTTTTCAACTCATTCAAAAGAAAGTTATATTTACCATCTCTGCTAGATTATATTTATCATCATTGCCAAAATACTTGCATCTTCCAGCTGCATCATGAGTCTGTGCTTTTCTCTTACCACCTTTGCTTTTAGGATCGCCAACATGGGGCTTTTTAACTAAGGGACGACTGCTGCCACTGCTATTTGTAGATATAAGCAAAATTGAATCATCCTCTTCCACCCCAGCACTGGGATTATTTTTCCTATAGTCTCGGGCCGCTTCTAATTTGGATTTCAACTTGGCAACAAGTTGATTATCACCCATAATTTCTGCTTTAACAATTTTTGCTCCCAATTTATTCATTTGTTCATCACTAAGATAAGGTGTTTTACTAGACTCTGTTTTATCTTTAGACTCTGCATTACTCGTAGAGGTTTCTTCACACTTTTCTTTATAGTGAGGTTTGCGCTCTTCTGCCTCTTGTGTTTCATGCTTTTCTCCACCTTTACGCCAATTGTTAGATCTTCTGTAATCATTTTTTATGTAACTGCCACTAGATTCTTTATAAGTCTTAGATTCACTCCTGTCTTTTCTTGAAAAGAAACCATCATCATTTCCAGGTCTTATAAAAGGCTTTGATCTCTGAAATTGTTCAGGAGTCTGAGGTAATCCTGTACCTCCTTCTTTCCAATATGGATTTAGCTCTCTACTACTTGTTGATGGGTTGTATGAATCAATTTGATTTTTTGTTTCACTACGTTTAGGTTTTATGTCATCTTTAGTGTATGTTTTTATTAGTCCACTCATAGACATCCAATTGTCATGGCTGGAGTCCTTTTTTGTAGGTTTTTCTACCCATTCGTCAGAACTTGAAGAACTGGAATCCTGAAAGTTTAAATTACTTTGTTAAGGCACTAGGTAATTAGTAACATATTAAGATATAAGTCACTGAATAACTCACACTTGACTCCTTTTTGGTTCTTTTATGCTTTTTGTGTGATTTACTCCGCTTTTCTTTCATTTTAAAAGTCGATACCGTGCTATCAAAGTGAATTTAATATTCGATAGAAAATTTTCAAAATTTAAATTTTCCTTTATTTTTATTAACACAGAAAAAAAATCATAAGTGTCTTCTTCTTTTTCTTAATTTGATGACTTTCATAAAAGTAATAATTTCATTATCAATATCATATGAAATATATTATATCATATCATATATTATATGTTTGAATCAAAATATTGACACTTTGGTAAGTATAATCTGTAGGTAATTGTATATTTGTGTCAACAGAATATACTCAGGAGCGCTTGGGATCACAGAATACGCATGCACAACCTAATTTACACAGACTAATTTAGTTAAATGATATTTTATTAAAATATTAAATTATTTCTTGTTATTGATTTTTAACTATTCATAAACAAAAATTAAATATAACTCCTTCTTTTAAAGAATTATTCCTATTAAATTATTTGTAATGGATAGGTCCATGTAATTGTGAATAGTCTGTGTGTAGTCTGTCTCCGTTGATTACTTGATTGTTGATTAAGTGCATAAGTCTCTCTTGCTTTCAATTCCATTGCTCAGTGTTTCAACCTATAGAATTCAATGGAATTTAGGAAGTAAGTAGGGCTTGGCTATGAATTACATGGAAGTGAAATTGAAAGATTCGTAGGTTCAAATGGAATTATGATGTTACCGATTTTTTGTTTGCATTTCGTGATAAAGTACTAAATTAAATTGTACGGAAATACTAATCCAGCAAAGAAACAGGTATTGGGTGAAAGTTATTAATTTTTATCGATAGTAAACAGTTTAAAGATTAATTAAGTAATCCATTCATCAAGACCAAAACGTTATTGTTTCAGAAACTAAATTATTGGGGAGGTTAAAATGTTTTCAAAAAAGAAAAAGAAGCCACTTATTTCTCCACCGAGTAATTTTGAACATAGAGTCCACACTGGTTTTGATAAAAGAGAAAATAAGTTTGTTGGCCTACCTTTACAGTGGGCGTCACTTGTTGGCAATAATCAGGTATGTTTCTGCAGTATATATAAGATTCTAGGAAGACCGGAATATATTTAAGCCAAAAGCTAAATATTAGGCAATGATATCTTTTCCTATGCTACAAATTTGAAAAAAGCTAGGTGTGAAGAGTGCTATTAATCACTTGAACTCTCTCGTGAAGTAAACTGATCATAATAGCATGGATTTTTGGAACCTGTATATAATATGTACAGTGAAATACAGGTATGAGGGCTAACCTTATTTCACTATGAAATAAGGTTAGCCCTCTTAGCTTTACCTTTTACCTTAATATTTGACTTATTATTAAAAAAATAAGTAACAGTAAGCTGCAACTAATTATTGTAAATTGCATAACATGTAACCTGCAATTTATTAAAATTGTTGAGCATAACACTGCCTTTGACTGTATAGTGCTTAAAAGACTACTGAAGTATGTGTATATATTGAATTTTTATCAAATATCTGTAAATGCAAGTAGCATATAAACAATATTTCTATTTGGCCCAGTTTAAAAGTAGGTTAAACTCAAATTGTTTAAGCAGGGCTTCCCTTGTTTATTCTGATAATGGAATTGGGTTAAATTTATTTGATGTGTAATATGTGTTTGAAAATAGGTTTATTAGCATCTGGTTAAAATATACATTTAGATATATATCTTTTTGTATGTAATCCCCTGTTCCCCTCGTGCAACATGGGGCGGACACATTCCTGTGTCCGTTTCACTGATCCGTTTTTTAACAGGTAGTTGATCAGACTTCTGTACCCTGCCCGACTGAAACGATTTTTTGTTTCCCTGGGATTCGAATCCAGGATCTCTCGTGTTTAACGCAATGCTAGGCGATAGGTTTAACCATTTGGCTACTGACGCCTCTGTCAGGCCAGCCAAATGGTTAAACCTTTTTTAGGTATTATTTAGGAATATTATATGAAGTTTTATGTCCAATTAATATATTACAAGAAATATTATTTACATTAAATAATGATAACATATCAATTAATATTATTTATATTAAATAATAAGTACATACGAAATGTATCTCAGATACAAAAAGCAAAAAGTTATTTTGCCTTTTGCAGATATTAAAATCATCAAATCGGCCTTTGCCATTAGTGGATCCCTCAGAAATAACACCAACAGAGATTTTAGATCTTAAAACAGTTGTACGAGGTGACCACAGGACTACATCAGTTGCTGCCATATCAAGACCCACATCCACAAACCCAATCACACAACCGGTACAAAACGGCGTCATACTACCAAAGACGTCCAATGTTGCACGCTCCAATTCATTGCGAAGTTCAAGCCCGCCGCGGATCAGGCGGGATTTGAGGAGTCAGGCAAATATACCACCATCAGTCCCAGAAGAATTACCTGTACAACCACCGCAGTATCCTAGCCTGCGTCGTGAACAGAGCAATTATACACTGAACCAGCCCATAGGGGAATCTCCAGTTGAATGGTCTCATGCCCATGAAGCAACTGTACGTTCAATAAACGATGCCAATGATAACCCACAGTCGACAACCTATCAAAATATCCAGAATGCCAACATACCTTATCAGCATCATAACCATCCACCACCGCAACCTGTTGTGCAGCAGCCGCTTGGTATGAATGGAAACATGAATATGGGTATGTTGCTTTGTCCTACTATGTGAGATTTTTAGCAGTTATTTGCTGTTCTACTAAAATATTCTCTAATATTATAATATAATATGTAATTCAAAATGTACCAACTAGTTTTAGCTGTTTAATAAGTGTGCCACACGTACAACGGCCAAATTGTTCGTGTTTTGAATACAAAATTGTTATTGCCATTAAGAACCATTGTGTGCAAAGTCAATTAAAGCAGTTCTGCAAATGAACTTTATATATTTCTTGTGGTTTAAAACTATTCTTTATAATATTTACTTTCTCATCTTTAAGTAACTATTTAATTTCTTTAATAAAAACTCCCTATTAATTTGCCATATTCATGTCTATATTTCGATAGATTTTAGTTATTCTAAGCACAACAGCCTACATTCGAAACATACTTGCCGTAAGGGAATTGCTCAATTATTAAACAATATGACAAACATATTGGGAATAGTTCACTTTGTTTACCTTCTACCATAAATATATGCAAATTGTAGGTGATTCATATGGAAGCGGCGTTCGACACCAGCACGCAGGTGCTCCGCCCCCCGCGCATTTGCCCCTCGCTGCTTCTAAGCACGAGCTACGTTTAACTCACGAACAGGTAAATGACCTTATCCATCCATTCCATACTAAAATCTGCGGAATTTTTATACTCTCCTTGGGGTGACCAAGTAGATTACATTTAATTGAGCTGGGGACTTACCTATCTATACTAATATATAAAGCTGAAGAGTTTGTTTGTTTGAACGCGCTAATTTCAGGAACTACGGGTTCGAAATGAAAAATTCTTAAAGTGTTAGTTAGAGCATTTATCGAGGATGGCTATATATATTTATATAGGCTATAAAATATCGCCCTGTGACTAATACAAGCGAAGATACAGCGGGTAATGTGAAAAAAATAGGAATATTATTCATCATTATAGGTTACCAAGGCGTACGCTGCAAAAACGGTTAACGATACCTAATATGAAAGAATGATTCCTCTTTAAATGATCTAAAAAAAAGTACGACGCTATATGTCTATCTTTTAAGATTAACTTGTAAGAACGACGCGACCGATGTCGTGGGTAACAATTAAACTAAATTAATTAAACATTTGAGGTGTCTTTTTTCTATGAAGATTCATGCTTTTCCAGTTCCGTGCAGCTCTGCGCTTAGTGGTGAGCGATGGAGATCCAAGAGAAACGTTGACTGGCTTCAGCAAGATCGGCAAAGGAAGCACAGGGGTCGTATGCGTCGCTACAGATACAAGAACGCGACGTCGGGTAGCCGTGAAAATGATGAACCTTCGCAACCAACAGAGACGAGAGCTTCTGTTTAATGAAGTGGTTAGTTTTTATACAAATACTTCTAAAACATAAAAATATTTATATAAGCAACTAAAAGGACCTCTAAATAAGAGTTCTTATTCCTGAGACCCCATACTTGGCATGATGCTATGCTACTATTTTGACTTTATACCTTTCAAGTACGTGTCAAATGTAACACTAGCAACATGTCTATGATTCCTCTCATCAAGAGAAGCCCAGGCTAGTCTGTCATAAAAAAACCCTAACAATCTTTGTAATAAAAGCTACTTAAGTAAGCGCTATCACAAATATTCAATGCTCTGTGTAAACGAGGGTGTTGGTAGAAATGTATATGGTTGTGAAACCAGAATAAACGTTACTTTATTTTTCAGGTGATAATGCGTGACTACCCTCATCCGAACATAGTGGAAATGTACGCGTCGTACCTCGTTGGTAATGAGCTGTGGGTAGTTATGGAATATATGGCGGGCGCGTCGCTTACACAGATAGTCACACGTGCGCGTATGGACCCTGAACAGATTGCAACGGTGTGCAAACAGTGCTTGAAGGTACTTTGATGTTTGACTACCCTTTTTTTAATTTTCATGTAATATGCTAATTGTGTACATTTTATGTTATATTATTTACGTTTTAGGCATTGGCATTCCTCCATGGGCAAGGTGTGATCCATCGGGACATCAAATCTGACTCAATCCTCATGACGGCAGATGGACGTGTAAAGCTATCCGACTTTGGTTTTTGTGCCCAAGTTTCACAAGTAATTAAATTACATATTATTCCTGTTGCTTTTATAAGCTTTGAATATATCTCATGACAAATAACACAATAATACCAATAAATTTGTAAGAATTTTCGTATAATAAGGTCTCATTGAAAAGTATATATTATAACAAGAATTAAATATTATAATACAGGAACTACCAAAGCGTAAATCGCTCGTGGGCACGCCATATTGGATGTCTCCGGAGGTGGTGTCTCGACTACCTTATGGGCCTGAAGTGGATGTGTGGTCTCTGGGTATAATGGTCATCGAGATGATAGATGGCGAACCTCCATTCTTCAATGAGCCACCGTTACAGGTAATATAGACTATTAAACCTAGACCTTTGTTGAAAAATGTTAAATTAACTGCATAAACTCAAATAAAAGTCGGGACTTCGACACATCTCGAGATTATGTCGTCGACTCATGGTGGTGCAATGTCGATATTTCACAACTTGTTTAAATTTTATTTTATGTAGTCTCCTCGTGATTATGCCTGTTTAACTTATATATTTCGCGTTTTAAACCGTTAAATGTTTTCTTTAAATATTCGATCGATTTTTTTTTTCAATTTATAATCGATTTTTAATTTATTTTAGGCCATGCGACGCATACGCGACATGCCACCGCCTCGACCGCGCGGCGCTTCCCGTTGCCCCCCGGACTTACTATCTTTCCTGGAGTGTGCTCTGGTCCGTGATCCGGCGCAGCGTCATTCTGCTGCACGTTTGCTACACCATCCGCTACTGCGTCGCGCTGGTCCGCCCGCGCTACTCGTGCCGCTAATGCCGCATTGATGCTATCTTACCATTGACATCGCAAGACAGGTAAAACCTAATATTCTAAATTTAAAACTGACGAATTAAAAAAAATACTGTGAAAGTAACTAACACACTGTATTGATAAGTTAATTCGATATTAATAACTCGTAATGAGGGTGACGTTGCTAACAAGTACAAGAAAATTTACTTATATATTTCCTAGTACTTAATATATTTACGAGTATTACGTTCTTATGTACCTGTCTTAAATACTGCCTGTGAAATCCCTTTTCCCGCCGTCGGGAATGGGACAAACTCATTTGTGTTTCCTTTTCATTGCTCGGTTTTGTTTATAGACAAGTATTTCATTATATTCTTTGCTCTGCACAACCGGGACAATCTATTTTTCGAACCCGTCTCATCGTAATGCTAGGCAACACGTTTAAGTGTCTCTGACCAGATGCGGTCATCTTATGCATTACTAGACCAAGAACTGATTTTTTAATTACTAACCTGGAAAATGTGTGGAAATTTTTATTCTCAATTGTATTAATTATTTTTTAAACTTTAAATTAATAATTTTAATTCAATACAAGGTATTAGTATTTCCAAGACTTCAAATTCTTCACTTAGATTATAGACCAACATTTGTTTTTTCAGGTACAGATTCCGACTTGGAAGCTGTTTTCAAACATCATTATTTAGTGACAACGTTTATCCAGACGAGACCCATACCATGACATGAGTTTGAAATCGAAACATTGATAATATTTATTTTCTTCGAATGCTACTTTTGCAACGGTATAATGTAAAGAGGTTTTATTGACCGTCTTTACCCCCCAGTGTCATCATTCCAATAATTGTGCTTCGAACTTATCATTCCTTATGCTTTTATGTTGACATATTTTTTAATGTTTTATAAAGAACGAAAGAAATTCATAATCAAAATAGCGGATATGCTTTATAAATCAATTTCTGACTAAAATCATTTTGTTATCTTTTTTAACAACAAAATCGGCGTATAAGCAATTTGCCCTTATCAATTAGTAATAATCCACAAATCATATTAATTTGTATTATAAGGACAGATTTACAACCTATAAACAAGAGCTAGACATGTAAATTTTTCTTAGATTAGTAACATTATGCCTTACTTGTTAGTGAATATGAGCCCCGTCCAGTGATTGAATGTTATGCTTATTGTTAAAAAAATCAATTCGAGGCCTATAAGGGGTTATATTTGTGTGTAATTAAATATTTTGTGCCTTTTAAATAAATTTTGTCAGTATTATCAATACAGATGTAATATATTGTGGTATTAATAACTTTTGGTAAATCAAAAAAGTATTTTTTTAAAGTTTGAATGTTAGTGTTATTTTTTGCATGTTATTGTCGTAATGGTTATTTTAACTGTATTCCCATATTCGTTAATGTTAGATTTACGTTAATTGTAAATGTAAAAACTATTTTTTATAACCTTTTTTCTTCACATTCCATTTTCACTGTGTTTATTTATTTGGGAAGTCTCCAAAGCGTTTTTAGCAGCTAGAATAAAATCTTACTTAAATTCTTACTAAGTACTTACACGAGAGTTTGGTATACGTCCGCCTTCACTTCTTATAGTTAATAGGTATATTTACAAGTTGTAATACTAAAAAACATAAAATTTTAATTGTAATTTTATACATGCTTTACTTAAATAAAAATCATAATTGTAGTATTTTAAAATGATATGGACATGCAAAGCCACAGTTTTAAAATATGTTTGTTATGATTATAATAAAAAATGACATGTGCCTTCCTTATCAGGCCTAACTTTCTTTATATCGAATCCTAATTCATTAACCGCAACTTATACAAAAGGAATATCTATGACTTAAATAGTGAGTGAGTTAGGAATTGATACCCGCTATTATTTTTTTGCGAGGAAACTTCAATTTGCCTTATAGATATTAAGTGCCTTAAAGTCCCAATAGTTTGTTGCCGGGGTAAATAGTCTGTGGACATCGCACGAGTAGTCTTTTGTTTTTAAGTTGTACGGTCGTTGAAATACGTTACTTCAGCTACTCGTTACTAACTCGTCGTTACTCGAATGTTGGTGTTCACTGGCTAGTTGGCCCGAGGTTTGTTTGCACTTTTGCACCCAACTGTTTCATCACATTACTCAACCTCGATAAGCAATACAGTTAATTTATTGTGACTCAATTTTAAGATATATGCCAAATATATTGTAATATTGTCACGTTGTTAAGACCTGTTATATAAATATAGATTTTTGAACAAACCCGATGTTTTATTCGATTAGTTAGGTTGCAATAAAATCTTATTACAATTACGTTATTCGTTTATTAAGATTACAATGATTATTATTACACTATTTGTAGAACTCATATTCGCTCTCATCCTTTTTGATGTTGTTCTTGTAGCCTTTTTCGAAATCTTTTGGCAGAACAATGTATCTGAAAGAAATTGAAATACTGTTAATAAACATGACGTAATAAGGTTTTTAAATAATGTACATACAATATAAGGCTCGTTGGTGGCAATGTACGGCTAATCATTAAACAGGCCCTGGGTGCAATCCCCACCAGGTCCAACATTTTTCTAACCAATTTATAATTTGTCTGAAACATATACGACTTCGTCTGGAAAATGGATCGAAATTTCGCCCGGGTCACGAACAACCATGCAAACAAGTCTAACTGCGTTTCGGTTTCAGTCTGTGGATTTCCTAATATCCAAAGCCAAAAGAGGTCGACAGTGCAGATGTTATATGACTGAGGTATTTCACCTCTCATCAAATGAATGAAATGCTAGTCAGTCCTTCTCTATCATTAAAAAAAAAACTTAGTACCTGTTTTCCCTGACGGCATGCATTCCTGCCTCCTGGCAAATAGCGTTGATGTCAGCTCCAGAAACGCGATCGGGCCGAGCTACGAACTCCTCCAAGTCAACCTCTTCAGAGAGATTCATTTTAGCTGTGATCGTTGAGAAGATCAAACGCTTTTGACGTCTGGGGACAATTATGATACTCAGTTAATCTATACTAATATATAAAACTGAAGAGTTTGTTTGTTTGTGTGTCGAATTTAAAAATTATTGAGTTAGCTAGAACATTTATCGAGGAAGGCCATAGGCTATAAAACATCGCTGTTTTTCCGATGCGTACGCTGCGAAAACGGCTCGAGATACCGCAAAAATATGTAGCAAAAAATGATTCCTCTTTAAATGATCTAAAAAAAAGTCCGCAACGCTATATGCGACCGACGTCGTGAATAACAGCTTAAGTTTATAAATAACGAATTTGGATGACCAAAATAAATATTCTTAGCGGACGAAGTCGTTGGCACAGCAAGTAGTAAATAAGATACAATATAAAATAGTGTTTCATTAGTGGTAAGCGTACCCCCAGAGGTACGTGAAATTGTATCAACGTACGTGCTGCTATCAGTAAGCACGAGTATCACAAGAACAATTTCCAAAATATTACTTTATTAAAACCATTATCGAGAAAAGTACGGAGCACCGAGCATCCGTTGTACAAAAATATTATTTGACCTCAACTCAACTACCTGTATGTGTAAAAGTTGTAACGATGCTATCTCATACAATGATGCTTCCTGACCACTTGCATCTATCAGATTATTTTTGTCAACAAACTATAACTGATAATAGATGGAAGTAGATTATAAATAAGAAAATAGATTGATTAAACAATGATCAATTAGATCGTTGCAACTTTGGGAATTTAATCAAAAACTGCCAGTAGTTAAAGTTTAGTAATTGACTTGGACGTTTGTTGGTCAACATACCTGTCTGGGAGTGGGAACTCAATTTTCCTGTCAAGACGTCCGGGTCTTAACAAAGCAGGATCAAGTGTATCAGCACGGTTTGTAGCCATAATAACCTGAGAAAAAGTCGGATTTAGAATAATGCCGACACTTATACTAGCAATAAGAAATACCGTTTTGAAGTTTGTATTATATTGATGAGATGTGTAGTGTCAAATCCCATTTCCCCCTTCTCTAGTGGGGCATGTGAAAAATTCTGTCTATTTCACTGATTGTTAAACAATACAGGCAGGTAGTTGATCAGTCTTTTGCGCCCTGCCCATCTGAAACAATCTATTACATCTCTGGGATTCAAACCCAGGACTGACTAGCACAATCCTAGGCTATTCCTATTTATTTGTTTGTAGCTATAGTACTCTCTAGTCATAGCTTACTTTGACATTAGTAGTCTGATCAAATCCATCCATCTGATTCAGTAACTCTAACAGGATTCTCTGTACTTCCCTATCAGCGCCGGTTTGTGCATCAAATCTGTGAATAAAAATAAGTAGAAAACCTTTACCTCAAATGTAAAAAAAAATGGTATATGTGTGTGGGGAAACACATAGCAAAATAAATGCTGATGCAGATTATTGCTAAATACATGTGAGGCCGACACTATTGTCCAATATTAATTACTAGTCAGTCTTTATTTTTCGTTTTAATTTGTTGACATGGTTTTTGGTAATTATTCGAAATAATTTTAAGTTATATATTGTGATTCAAATATAGTCTATTTTAATATTTATTTTTTCTCTCAAGACCAATCGTCTGTTATTATAACTTTTTATTACCTCTTAGTAGCAATAGCATCTATCTCATCAATGAATATGATAGCGGGACTGTTCTCTTTGGCAAGACGGAAGACGTCTCGCACCATGCGGGGACCTTCCCCAAGGTATTTCTGTACAAACTCGGATCCCACCACGCGGATAAAAGCAGCTAAAAAAAGTCGTAATTAAATTGTATTGCTTGAAATATACATGATTACAAAGATCTTACATGGTCATTTGATATACTAAACATATAGCATCAATTATTATAACTTCATACTACTATTCTATTCTGAACAGAAAACAGTTTCACAGTATTTCTTATTATTTAGTTGTAATTATTCCTCCTTTTTATGCTTTTAAGTAAGATTTCTTGCATATTATAACTGTTACTAATAATATATATAATAATAATAATACACATTATTATTGAATGATTACTATTATTTTTGTAGTTTAAACATAAGTACATTGTTATCTTGATACTTAATTTGATTTATACCTGTATAACTCTACGAACCTGTTGTATGATGAGCAACAGCCTTAGCCAACATGGTTTTTCCACACCCAGGGGGCCCATACATCAACACACCTCGGGGAGGCTCAATACCGATTTGTCTGTACAGCTCAACATGAGTCAATGGCAACTCAACTGCCTCTCGAATTTCTTGCTTTTGTGTGTCCATTCCACCAATATCAGAATATTGGACGTCTGGTTTCTCATCTGATAAAATGATTTTTTTTACTCAACTACCAATATTAAAATAAAAAAGATTTTTAAGATTCTAAGCTTTTTTTAAAATTAAAATCTGTTTGATAAACTATATTTAAAACAATAGAGTTTTAAATATAGTTTATCAAACAGATTTTAATTATAACACTCTTATTAATACTATTATGGTATCTATATGTAAAAGCAAATCAATTACCAGCTTGTAACATTGAAATGGAGCTATCAGCTTCTGGAGGCAGGACGTCAACAAGGGCATTGGAGTGTTTATGCAGAGCTACTGATGCAGATGGCTTCAATAACTCCCGGTCTATGGTAGACAGGATGCGGACATAGTAGTTTGAGCCTGTGGTGCTGCCCACTGAAAGTAAGGGAATAATATATCTTTATCAAACAATTGTCAACTTATTTAAAATCTATGTAATAAATGTTAAGAGCAAATGGAATTAGTAAATTCTCCTAAAATAATGAAATTATACTAATAGAATGACATACATCAATACTAAAACATGAAAATGGTAGAAAAAGTAGGTAAAGTATTATCTGTGGTTTACAGAAGTGGCATTCAAATGGGTTTTTTATTAATGGGTAGTTAAAATATATTAAAAATAAGTTAACTAATGTGTTTTAACTCTAAATTAAACATAGTAGTTTCTTTGTCTCTTAAGATAAAGAAGCACTATGTATAACATACCTATTCCAGTGTTTTGATCAACCGCTTCAAGAAATTGACCAATGACAAGAGGCACTGATTGTATCCTCTTAACTTCTTCCTGGGCATGTAGGTACTCCTTTTTGAGATTTCTCTGTTCATCCTTAATGTATTCTTCTTGCACTTCGAGAAACTCTAGCATACGTTGGAGTTTCTGGTAAATGATCAATTTGTTTAACAAGATGTTATGTCTATTGTTTTAAGTAGTTACCTCTTTTGGTCTTAGAAACTTACCTTGTATTTTGTATATAAATCTTCAGACTCCAACTCATCGAACGATTGTGGTCCAGGGAATGCACCTTTGGTGTCGGTGACTTGGTCATCCTAAAAGTAAAACAAAAGTATAGATTATGCGTCGTGTTAAAATCGTTACAAACAAAGGATATAATCTCAACCTACCTTCTCTGGTAATATAATCCCGATTTCTTCCATTTTTAATATACCCTATTCAATGTATTAAAACAACGACTTATTTCTTAGTTACAATACAGAATTTCAAAACCAAGATTCGTGAGTTCACAAATTCATCTATTACCAACAATTGGTGTAGTTGGCTGTCAAAATAATACACCGTCATGCTGTCAAATGTCAGTTCAGTTTCAGAATAACAGATAAAAAATATCGGATTTATTTATTCCACAGATATACATATCTGTCTGTAATGCTTTTTAAATTTCATATTTATTATCAAACCCACTTTGATGTTCAAATTGATGATGATGATGAATGATTTTACGTTGAAACTGATAAAAGATGACTCCATCTACCCTTAATTTAAATATTATACTGATATTTATTATTGAACCAAAATGATTCATAAATTATTTTTTATCTATACTAATATGTAAAGCTGAAGAGGTTGTTTGTTTGAACGCGCTAATCTTAGGAAGTACGGATTCGAATTAATATTTTTTTGTGTTGATTAGAGCACTTATCGAGGAAGGTTATAGGCTATAACACATTGCGATGTGACTAATAGGAGCGAAGATACAGCGAGAAATGTGAACAAAACGGGGGAAATTTTTCATATCTGTAGGTTTCCGATGCGTACGCTGAGAAAACGGTTCAAGATATCTAAAAATTGTATATGAAAGAATGATTCCCCTTTAAATGATACAAAAAAAGTCCTCGACGCTATATATCTATAATTTTAGATTAACTTGCAAGAACGACGGGAAGGGCCGCTACAGACGTCTTGAGTATCAGCTTAAGTTTATAAAGATGTCGGGGTTTACAAAAACGGATTTGAATGCCCAAAATAACGATTCTCGCGGACGAAGTCTCTGGGACAGCTAGTATTTAATAAAATTAGATTCTTCATGTCATTAGAATTGTCAAAAAACAATATGTATTTTAAAATTCTTTATTATCAATAAAAATGCAAGTCAGGATTACATATTTTTGGCTTCTAGGTTGTCATAATTCATATAGGCGCAAGGACAATCACAAGCATACAAAATATAGAGTTGATCTGTAGATTATTTATAATTCTACCTATATACTTTATAAGGTATGATATTAACCACTGATCTGAACTTAACACAAGATACTTATTCACTTATATTTTCACTTATAAAACTCAGGAATGATGAAACTCGAGTGTAAGCAGCAGGCATACCAATCTGACAACCGAAGGCGGAGCCGAAGGATGTTATTCCAATCTGAAAAAGAATACATATATACATTTACACCCGAAAAAAATATATAAACAATAATATCTATGATTTATTATCTAACCAGAACTCGTTTGCCACTCGCTTCAGCTACTAAAGGACCGCCGGAGTCCCCACCGCAGGTGCTATGTCCTCCAAGTCCGCTGGTGCAAAGGTGCGAGTTCTGGATAACGAATGGGAATGCAAGAGAGCATAACTTATTAGAGATTACTCGTAGTCGGACGCTGTTCAGAGTTTGGCTCTCCGTGACTTTTTCCCCTGTTGACAAAGTTATAGTTGCTAAGTTAGAGAAATTAATTATGTAATCCTAGTATGTGTTAACATGGGTTTTATCGACTGCTTTCGTTGCTAGAGCTTGATGGTTTTAACTTTTAATTATATTTTGTATCTTACGCGAAAGAAGACTTGCAGCAATACAATATTGAAACATATTTTTTGTTATTTTGCTTGTAACTCTTTGAACATTAAAATACAATCAATAATAGCGTGGCAGATGCAAAATGTAAGGATAGTGAAGCGACCCTACCAGTATTAGTGATTCCAAAGCCCGTTGCAATAGCTGACGTGCCAACGAAAGATTCTCGAGACTCCTCTTCACTCGGTAGAGCAATGGGAGCTATGGTATCTGTAAAGAATATAAAATATAGTTAAAATATTATGATTATAAATATATATTGTATACATCTATATTTTATAACTAGATGTGTCAGCGACTTCGAGTAGAATAGTTATTTTAGGCAACGAAATATGTTTTTGCAGACCTTCCCTTCATTATTCTTAAGTTAATCTTTAAAGATAGACATAAAGTGTCGCGCACATTTTTTTACATATATTATCTTTAAATTATCTAAAAAATCTTTCTCATGAACGCATTTTTTCGTACACATAGTTTGGGCATCGAAAACCCATAGAGAGGAAACAAAAATTTTCCCCCTGTTTCTTCTCTTTGCTCCTTTCAGACACACTTCGATGTTTTATAGTCTATACTACTTAATTTACCTTCCTCAATAAATGCTCTAACCAACAAAAAAATAGTTTTTCATTTCGAACCAGTTCCTGCGTTTACACGAACAAACGAATGAAAATTGTTCTCTCTTGGAAAGAATACATTCTTAATTTTGAAAATAAGCTAGACAAACCTGAAATTTGCACTGGTTCCGGCAGAGTAGCAACTGCTACATCATTACGTACTAACAAGGGCGACCATTGTGGATGAATTTTTACATCAGTGGTCTGAACTCTTACACCCCCTTGAAATATGAACACAGATCCTAAAACCACTGTGAACCTCCATGCTTGGTTCTTGCCGTCGTACCAGCAGTGCGCTGCTGTTAGTACTTTGTTAGCACTGATAAGGGATCCACCGCACATACCTCGTGCTTTGATGTCTACGATATCAGAAATAATGCCAGCCTAGAAAATAATAAGACAATTTAATGTCCTGGGTAAGCAGATTAATATGGAACGAATCTATATGCATCTTCTGGATAAAGAGACGAGATATTATTAGAGAAGTAAGAAGTAATATTATCAAAGACAATTAACCAAGTCAATTACTATGGGTTTCCTACCGTAATTGATACTATGTGATATATAATAAATATTGATTATACAGTATTGATGCATTCTTAAAAACTATTTGGTCTTATACATTCAAGATTGTTATTGTAAATATCGTTTAACATATTTTACTGTCGTTATTATAAAGACAAACCTGATAGGGATACTGCCCAACAACAGCGGGAACACCACCAGAAATCCTATTCACTTTACTCTCTGTCAATATTTTCTCTTCCGCTCTAAAGATACGCTCCGCTTCCGGTATACCAAACCTCGTTAGATATCCATAAGCCGTATTCCATATTGGAAACTCTTGCGCACCGGCAAATGAGATAACCGCGAATAGGATTGGTAATACCTGCATTTTCTTAACGTTTGGCTTGCGTGCAATAAACTTCAGTATTTATAAGCGATTCGGTCGCAACAAAAGGTCTAGCGCCAGATAAATTTGTGGAGTAACAAGTAAATAAAATAACAAAACTATGTAGCCACTTGAGGTTAATATCTGAAACTTATTGGTAAATTGATTAGATACACATTCAATTAGCAAACTAAACGTAAGTACGTAAATAAAGTTATAAAGGTGAACTGTTCGTTAAGTATGTTTGGTATTTATTTTTACCCTTTATCTGAAGTGAGAAGGTATTTAAAAGGAGTATTGATTCTTTATCGCATCTATCTTATCTCAACAGAGACATTTTTATCCTTTGAAGATATTTAATCTCAATAGAGATAGATTGACCTAACGTACTGAGTTACTTCTAGACTTGATAGTGGGAGACGATTAGACTTGCCAGCGTTTGCTAGAATGTACGGCTTCAATATATTATGTGTCATAATCTAAGTATAGCATAGTCTTATATAAACTATGTTATTTCTGATTCTAAATTTAAAAAGTGAATATTTTGAAATGTATTCATGACAACAAAGAACGATTATAAATAAAGCTTCTTTGTTAAATAATGTCCCAAGAATAGATCTTCAGAAAACAGGTTTTAATTCCAGGTGTATGGAAAGGGAAGGATCACAAGAAGAATAACGAATAACTTCGTATAATTTGGTAGTAGAGGATAAGTAAATAAGATTAGTAGACCAACCTTTTAATACCCACTTTTGGGAAAAAGAATGATAAAGTTATTAATGAAGATTTGTAAAGTAGATAGCGTAGTGATTAAGATTACATTATACGTGCTTATTTCTTCATAGTTATTTATCGCATAGAAATTTCATTGAGTTTATGAATATTTATTGATATGTATCTAGGTGTGTTTTGATAGTTATAAAATCATATTTCCTAAGGTGTACATATTTCCGTGTCCATTTTAATGATCCACAATATTTATAGACAAGACGAAATCCTAAAAAATCCTCTTCCATGTGTTTTTTATGATAGAGCAGGAAAGACGTGCATGGGGCAACTTTGGTACAAATTTGGTATTCGGAAATTCTGAGACTGAAACCGCGATTAAAGTTCACAGCTTTTCCATCTGTGAATGGTACCCAGTCATCGACATCGATATTCCCATCAGCAATTTACTATCCAGATTCTAGATATCCAGACGATACATTGATCACCTAGTTTTTATCTTTATATAATCCAATCTTAAATACTGTCTATAGTTTACGCGAGTAGTACGCGTTTGAATAAAACATTTTAACGGTTTAAAACGCGATATATTAGTTAAACTTATCCGTATAAGATGTTTAACTTCAGCCCGACGTTTCGGAAATCATTTTCGAATAAGTTTAACTAATATATCGCGTTTTAAACCTTTAAAGTGTTTTATTTAAATAAATAAATCGTTGTAGAATAATGAATGTATGAACAATAAGAAATGTATTATTAGTTGTTAAGGTTCTAGTGAAGTTTAACAGTTTAACTTTACAGTCTAACTTAAATTCATTTAAAAATAAATAAAAAAGAAACTAACCGTACAATAATTCAAATTGAACCTTTTAATACAAAATAAAAATATTACAATCTACGAATTGAATAGAAAATTACTACTGTTTTAATAACTATTGGTAATTCAAGAATGTTCCTTGATGAAGCCTAAGTATGACGTCACTCTTGTGAACGAAGCGGGGATTCCTTTTTGACAGCCGTGATTTGATACAAATGACGCTACTCCAATCTGTGGATAAGATTTAACAATAAATATAATATATTAAATGGCTTAAAACAAGAATTATATTAATATGTACTAATAAATAAAGCTAGAGTTTATTCGTTTGAACGCGTTAATCTCAGGAACTAGCGGTTCGAATTGATAAATTATTTTTGTGTTGGCTAGAACATTTATCGAGGAACACCGCCCTGTGACTAATACAAGCGAAGATACAGCGAGAAAAGTAAAAAAAATTGAAAATTATTTATCATTGTGGATTTCCGAGGCGTACACTGCAAAAACGGTTATAGATAACAAAAAATATTTATGAAAGAATTAATTCTATTTAAATGATCTAAAAAAGTCCACGACGCTATATGTCTTTCTTTTATTACCTTGCAAGAACGACAGGAAAGGACTCTACCGAGGTCGTGGGCTGTTACCCACGACGTTAAGTTTATACAGATGAAGGGGTCTGCAAAAACTAATTTGGATACTCAAAATAACGATTCTCACGGAAGATGTCGCTGGCTCAGCTAGTTAATTATAATAACGACTTTTTTCGCAGTCGTGGTGTAGAAATGTAAACTTTTAGACATATGTTGCTTTACACTATTGTTAAAAGTATTTATATATCTGAATATGAAATTATTTGAACGTTGCATAATGGTATATGGTTTATTATTATGTAGTCTATGTGTTCTTTAGGTTTGAACATAAGTAATTACAGTTTATAACTTATGTTCCTATCATCAGATTCCTAATAAACTTACCAAAGTAGACTGGCCGTTTCTTTCAATGACTAGTGGACCTCCAGTGTCCCCAATGCAAATGCTAGCTCCACCCAAACTGCTTGTACATAAATGAGAGTCCTGGATCACGGACGGAAAATAATAGGCGCAGACTTCGTTCCTGATGACGGTTAGCTGAACGTGGTTTAAATCTTGACTGATTGTCATTTGTTGACCTGAAGAGGAAGACAATGTTAAGAGATAATCTCTCTACTTATGGCATCAATTTTCCTACTAGTTCTGTCTGCTCTTTTTTCATTAAAACTGATAGAAAATGTAAATATTTGCTTTTTAATTTTGTTGCTTGCAAGAAGACACATTAATCTGCAAGAATAAAATATGATTTAAAGCTTAAATATTTTCACATGTTATTAATACACATGATGGTATTGTTAAAATATTTTATTATTGATTTTTGTAAAGTTTTTAAAACAACTTTTTTCAATCTAAAGTCCATTTTTAAGAATAAATGATCTTTAATGCTGGTAGTGATTTATGTTGCATTTTATTTTCAAAACTATTAATGAAAACATAGTTTAAATACTGTTTGTAGTAAGTTTACGCGAGTACTACACATAAAAAAACACTTTAACGGTTTAAAACGCGATGTATATTAGTTAAAATTATATTATTATGCTTTGCCGCCCCCCCCCCCCCGTGATCACGACAGCTGCAAATATACACATATGCTAAACGTCGGGCCGTAAGTAGTTAAAATAAGTTTAAACTGTTAAAGTGTTTATTTAAATAAAACATTGCTTCATTAATTAGCAGCCGTTGTATCAATGTTATCCTCTAACACGTTTTAATGTCTGCTTCTGTAGCTCAACGATCTTAACATGGTGCCCAGCATTAAGCACGATAGGTTCTAGATTATTATCCTCAGAAAACAATAATTTCTTTTTGTCGGGGAGGACACAGTGTAAACAGCCACTTTAATTGAAGGGTAAGAAAAATCTGTTTGCCCCATACCCCACGAGGAGAAACGGAAAATTTACTTTATATTTTATGTTTTAATTATACGTTCTCAAAAACGCTTATTACGTCTTACAAATTATTTTTAAGTACTGTAATTATTAAACATTTTGATATATATATTTACCATCAGCAGTTATTCCATACCCAGACGCAATTGCTCTGATGCCAGAAAATGATTCCTCCTCATCCTCTTTTGATGGCAAAGCAACTGGTGAGATATAAGCTGAAAGGTTAAACATAAATTAACAATCTTTTCTATTGCTTGAATAGTCAAGGAAATTAATGAATAACATGTTTTCAAGCAAATCGATTAATTTACTTCGATTAGATATGAATTAAGAATGATTAGCAAAGGAAATCTTCCGCTAAGTCAGTCTGTTGCGTACGTCTGGGTTATTTTTAACTAACATGGCAACTCAATCAGTCTCTGTAGTTTACGCGAGTAGAACCGATTAAATAAAATATGTACATCTAACGGTTTGAAATGCGAAATATATTCGTTTAGAGATATTTAATTTACTGTAGCCCGCCCGACGTTTCGGAATTTTTCATATTGTAAATATTATGAAATAAGTGTGCACATATAAGATATATTTAATATAAAATACCTGAAAATTGAATGTCATGAGGTAAGTAAATAACACCAATATCATTTCGTAGAAGCTCTGGAGACCAGAGCGGGTGCAGCGCTATGTTTCTAGATTGAATTCTGGTACCACCACTGAAGAGGAACACGGATCCCAAAACTATGGTGAATCTCCAAGCCAGGTGGGTACCATCAAACCAGCAATGGGCTGCTGTTAGCACCCTGTTCGCAGAGATAAGCGACCCGCCGCAAACTCCCATATTATTTGTATCAAGAATATCTGAGATGATTCCAACCTTCAAAAAAGAGATTTTTTCTAATCAAAAAATCTTTCCACCACAAATATGTATAAAGAACGAGGGTCATGGGCCGTCGCCCAACCACGACCTCCCCTGACTCTGTTCTTCATAGAACAAGTTTAATAAATACACTAATTCTTAGGTATAGGTAATAATCAACGGGTCGATTTTTCAGTCTCCTAACGGTATAACATGAACATCATACATTTTTAAAATTGTTAAAACATGTTGGACTGTAAATTGTGTAAGGCTTTCGCGGCCATCGTTCAGCATATCATTGGCTTTCGGGCTGTTCGGCCGATGTGAGCGAGAAGAGATTCTCTACGTTTCGCCATCACGTGTGGGCAGCATCATCAGGAGATGTTAACTCCTTTGCTCATTGCAAAGATTGCTCAAAGAAATAATTCTTCTCACATCGGCGGAACAGCCCGTGAGATATGATGTAGGATTGTGTTTGGAAAAAAAAACGAAATTTGTCGGTGAATTTCGAATATTTCACTCGGGTCACAATCCACCGTTCATAAATAAAAAAGCCGTGAAGTTTAATCGCATTTCGGGCACAGTCTGTGGATTTCTGAATATCCAAAGGCAAAGTACACAACTAAATATACAGCGCATCTTCTTGCGATCTTATATGACTGGGGAATTTCGCTTTCCATCAAGTTACCTCATACCCCACTGCCATTGCCTTACCTCTTTTATCCTATAAGAAACCGTGTCATGGTACCTCAATGGAAAAACAAGATCGTGGGTTAAATTCCCACTTTACTCCGTTCTTTAAAATATCTCGGAAGCATGAGCTATTTTTAATTCCTACAGCTCGCACTGTCGCTCGTGCTGTCTCGCCTGTCCCTCGGATGCTTAGCGCACTCAATGCGCTCCTGGACAGCAACCCTGATGTCGATTTATTTTTTGACAATTATGGAACAATCGTGTCCAATTGTTTAAAATGGTGCGATTCATCTTTGTCCGTATTGTCTTTTTTTTTACAATTAATGTAATTGGCTTAGGCCGTTTTAGTTGTAGTAAATAAATATTTTAAATTCAACAACGCAAAAACATGCAGTAAAAATGTAGGATCCATTTTTTTTACTAACGTCGTATCTCTCTTTTCAGTGCATAAAATGGCACTATACATTTCAATATGAATTAGAAACGATTTGCTTTTCTTTCCTTTTTACATTTCTTTAATATGAACTTCAAAATACCTGATACGGATGTCGTCCAAGATCAGATGGCACTCCTCCGACGATCCTCGCGTTTCCACCATTAGCTATGTACGCTTCTTCAGCTTTGCGTATTTTTTCTCCCAGTGGTATGGCATATCTGGTGAGGTAGCCATAAGCACTATTGTGCAGGGGCCACTCTTCTCCATATATGAAAGGTAAAATATATACCAAAACTACAAGCGCGTTCATTGCTATAATTTTGTCTGTGATATATCTGCTAAATCCTTCTTATAGGATTAGCTCACCTCATCAATTAGACGGTAATCATGATAAGGGATTACTAATTACATACTATCTGATACCATTTTTCATTTGAAAATGTGATTCAAGTATTTTTACATCACTAGTAGTAGGTATATGTTGAATAATACGAATGTGATTCTTTCCTAAAAAATTTATGTAAACTAGGTATTTTACAATGTACCTGTGTGCCTTTAAATTAAATATATTGTAGACTATTAAATTTTTAGCAGTCCATACCATATCCACTGATAACACAGGTACGAAAGTTTTATTTCAAATTTTTTTTTTCTCCGGCTTAATTCTATATTCTCGCTGGTTGCCAGAGTAGGTTTTACTTTTTTTTTAATTCGATCCAATTATACAGAATATAAGGAAATTAATCTTATCGGTTTGTCCATGTTGTAACATGAAATAAATATGTATGGGTACTAGTGTAAAGATAAATAGTATATAAATGTAATTAAAATTGTGTCGTAGCTCCAATGAAAGAAGTTTAATTACTAGTATATATAGATATTTTTATCTCTGTATAAATATCGTATGTTATATATCTAATTCATATGATGTCGAGTGGTTAATTAAACTTACTGATTTAGTTTATTAATTGAACAACAGATGGCATGTTTTCTTATTTCATTATTATTTTATGCTAAATATGGATAATTTCAGTTCCCTATCCCTGTATCCCAAATTATTACTTTAAGAAAATTAATGTATTAAATTAGTACCAATTTCTAAACTGAAAAATAAGGGGAGGGGGGTAATATGCAATTAAAGAATATATACAATAAAAAATAACCACTTTATTACATATATATTTTCAATTCGATAAGTTATTGGCTCTATTAGCTCTACATAGTATGAGATATTTATGTCATTCTGGCATATGTATGTGATGGTTAAATAACGACAATTCGTTATTTAACCATTAGCTTTTATAATTTAATTTAAGTTGGTGTTAATGAAGTCCATGAAAGAAGTAACTCTAACGAAAGCGGCGGGGAATCCAATTGTGCAGCCTAAGGCTAAGCCAAAAGAGGTGACACCAATCTGAAAAAAAACAACACTGAATAGAGACTTTCCAAATATAATAATAACGCTTTCAATCATATTCGGGGTAAGTAATTGCATATTTAAATGTCTAAACGAAATTCCAGCAGAAAATATCGAAATGAAGTGTGTAATAAATTAATGATCACAGTTGAATGCATTTAAACTTTAGGCCAGTCATAGGTCATATATGAAATTTTTGTTAGTTAAGAATTTTGACGATTGACTTTTAATACTGAATAAATCTACCCTATTTTCAGGTACAAAGGTGAATCTTTTTCCTTACATAAATAAATAAGTTCCAAGATTATTATATATAAATTAAAACTCGATTTTAGATTGAAAGAAAAAAATTACGACACGACACAAATTACGGATTTGAACCAGCATGGACAGTGTTCCGCGCTGTTGGTCTAACCATTTGAGCTACCACGTCTTACACTTCAACGTCGAGTTTTAAAAAAGAGATTATTACCAGTGTTTTTTGGTTGTTCCTTGTGACAACGAGTGGGCCACCAGAGTCACCACGGCAGGTACTCCTACCATTAGCACCGTTGATGCAAAGGTTACTATCGACGACGTGAAGAGGGAAAATGCGACGGCATTCGTCGTTTGTGATCACAGGTACGGTGACTCCGCTCAAAGATTGGTTTCGTTCAATACCAACATCTGAAATTACGAAGAACAAGTGAGAATTAAAAAAAACTATAACTACGTATTCTTTTAGTTGTACTTAAAAAACACAGTTTGGAATCGATAAAATTAAACGACAAGAACGAAAGCCCTAAATCTTATTTAGAAACATTACGGATTATTTATTACCTAGTCCATCCCGGGTTAAACCGAAGCCAGAAGCAACTGCGGCCTGTCCAGCGAAGTTATTAAAAATGTCAAGTCCAGAAGGTAACGCAACAGTAGAAATGGTGCCTGAAATAACAAAGTTACTGTCAGCTCTAAATTATAAACTATATAATTAAATTAATAAAGAATACTTTAAACGGTTTAAATAAAAGGAAATAGTAGCTATGGTCACGATGAAAATCAGGACTGGTTTATTATTCAATGTGCAGTTCCTAGTCACTGCAAACTAAAGATTAGAACTGAAGACGTTTAAAGTAGGAAAACCGAAATAAAAGAAATATTTCTTTATAACTTACTTGAGAACTCAACGTTCTGTGGAAGGCGTATCATAGCTATGTCATTACGAATGAGAAAGGGGAACCAGCCAGAGTGCATGACAACATCTTGAGAGTGCATCCTGGTACCGCCAGAGAATAACAGCACGGAACCGAGGATAACTTCGAATCTCCAGGCTTGATTGTTACCATCATACCAACAGTGGGCAGCCGTGAGAACTCTGTTTGCTGAGAGGAGAGAGCCCCCGCAGACACCTCGACCAGTTTTGCCAACAATGTCAGAAATAAGACCAGCCTGTAAAACAATGTAAAAAAATGTATGTGTTATTCAATTCATAAGTGCCGATTTATTAAAACAAGTTATGTACCACTATGTGCGCTGTTATAATCACATACAATAAGACGTAGGTCGTTCTTGTGATACCATTTGATAGGTTGATTAGCGTCAAAAGCGGTATAGGTCAATTCCTATAAAATTATGAATGTATTTGATATTCTTCTCACCTGGTAGGGAAATTCACCTAATTTCGCGGGTGTGCCACCGGCAATTCTTGAAGACACGTATCTTTCTTCAGCTTTGCGAATCCTCTCTGCTTCAGGGATACCGAACCTTTCCATGTAGTTCCATGCTGTGTTCCATTCGGGAACTACAGTTGAAACATCAGCAGCAACGTAAGCAGCTAGAGCTGCTACAATAATTACAAACTTCATCTTTATGGCTGGAGCAAAGAGGATTGAATTGAAATCATATTGTCCTGACTTTTATAGTGTTTTAGATAGATTACGATATTGATTGTGGATATCGTAATAACTAATTATTAGATAAGTTAATCACTCATGTATCCGTCTTAATCTAAATTACGTTATGGATATCTGGAGATCATGCATATTAATCAATACTTGGGTGTTATTGTTTTGGATAATTTGATTTTTGAAAGGATATATGTTATTAAATTTTATCGCCTTTTAAATATTATTAACATTGACATTTGGATTTGGAACAGGAATAACATTGTGTTAATAAAATTAATAAAATTATATTCCTGTTCTAAATTTCAATTCAATTTTTAAAAAATCTGCAAGAAAACACATTGACTATACTTTTCAACTTGGTACTTATGACAACATAAGACAACCTTTGGTTCTTACGTAACTTCTTGCCAGAACCAAGTAAACGTTTTTGGTATATGCCGAAGCTCGCAACTTACACCAAATCTTAAGATTTTTATAGAGCAAATACACTCTTAATGGTTTTTAGTGTACACAATAAATAAAAAAACTTAAGGTAGCCACCTACAAGGATAATTAAGGAAAAACAGACAAATGTTTTAGAGGACATGTAGAAGCCATTTTCTGTTGTGGTTGGGATATACAAATAAATTAGACTAAATTGTGAAATCTGTATGCGTAAAGAATAAAATAAAAGCCATTTATATTTATAAAAAGTACTATATTTGTAATTTGTATTTTTCCAGAGTTTTAATCCAGGATTCACAGGAGAAAATGTTGTTAAAACCAGCTTCTTATAATAATTCATTATATTATATTTACTATTTATAATTGAGTGTAGTTTAGGTATTATCATTATTAAACATTACAATTCAATACAATTAATCCGCGATTCAAGGATAGTATACCTATTTGTGAATTACTAATCAATTAATGGGCATTTTAGCTTAGGTGTATTCATTCATATTTATTCACACTACATAACACGTTTAGTAGTTTACAAATTACTGTTAATGAAGTTTATAAAAGATGTAACTCTAACAAAAGCAACAGGGAAGCCCCAAGTGCAACCTCTCATTCCGAAGGAGACGAGACCAATCTGAAAGAGAAAATAATCAATTAAAATATTATTTTGGTTAATTGGAATGACTTAGAAAACTTGTAATCTTCATGTTAACTAAAAGCCCTGGCCTAGTGACTTTGTAAGGAGTTCCCATGCCAAGAACTCCATTAATATACATATTTTGGATATTCAGCCAGCGTGCTAGAGGAATCCTATAAGTTGCCAGTTCCTCGCGTTCGTTCTACGCCCTTAATGTGAGAACTAGTGGTAATTGTAGAAGAGTTTTGTTTATAACTGTACCTACCCACTTTCTTACTTTTGATTTGATTAATGGCAATACAATGGTACCATTAAACGATTCTAACAAAATGTCATCAACCATAAATTACCAATATTTTCCTGTTGTTCCTTGTAATAGTGAGAGGTCCACCAGAGTCACCGCGGCAGGGGCTCTTGGCGTTAGCACCACTGGTACAAAGATTACTTTCAATCACGTGGACAGCGAAGGCCGGTATGCTGCGGCATTCTTCATTTGTGATCACAGACAGCGTCACACCACTCAAAAACTGATTCGGTCTGATAACGGCATCTGTAATTATAAGATTGCAACGTAATAATGGTTTCTACAGGTAAAAATTAAAAGAGTCTTTATAGCCTTAACGTGCTAGTGTTAAAGATCAATTTACATCGTGCGAATGGTTACGTAGAAATATATTAAAGTAATTTGAGGATATTTTAGCCCCAGGAGCTCAAATTGATTGAGTGACTGCCCAAAACGCTGCAGTTTTGGGTTCCAAATCAATTCTATCTATCTTTAAAAAAATTTTTAATGCCTGGAAAAGCGCCTAATTAAAATTACAAATACTTTGTGATTCATACAATCTTGTAAAATTAAATTTATATATATAATTATTATTGTATATATATAGTCATTAAAACAGTTCACTTTTATTATTGTATATATATAGTCATTAAAACAGTTCACTAAGGTGCTCAAGCCATTCAGCTGTTTAAGCTATGCGGCAGTAACATTATTACAGGTAATCATCTGCTAAAATTTTGTACCCCGCCGAAGAGAAACGACCAGGTTTTTGTATTGAACTCGTGGTCAGCGCAGTTTTGGCCTTATAGTTATAAGGAAAGCAAGAACCGCGGCGGTAAATATATTAGTTTCAGTGGCAACATTATTCAAAATTCAAATAAATTTACCATCATAATCACCAAGGAACCCAAAACCAGAGGCAACTACGGTCGCACCAGCGAAGGTTTCGGAAAGCTCTGACCCGGAAGGCAAAGCAATTGGAGAAAGTACACCTGAAAAAAGGGTTTATTTTAATGAAATAAAAAATTGATATTTTCAGTCTAGTATGCAGAATGTATGCATGATGTGTCGACTTTTGAGAACCGAACATTAATTGGCGTTTAATTCAATCAAGAATAATAGTTTGTTTCGAAATTCATATGAAAGTTCCTTTAAGTGACAATGTAAAACAAATTGTAATGAAAAAATTGTAGCATAATTAGAAATTTTATCTATGATACACAGCAAATATAACTACAAAGACAATACGATAGTAAAGGAAAAACGTTTACTTGAGGCCTGAAATTGGTATACCCATTTGTGATAGAGTACAATAAGTACTTACTTGAAAACAGTACATTTTGGGGAAGGCGAATCATAGCGACGTCGTTGCGACTGAGGATAGGTATCCAGTCTGAATGCAAGACAACATCGCTAGAGATTATTCTGGTTCCACCAGAGAATAACAATATGGAACCCAGGACGACTTCAAGTTGGTAGGCCTGGTTGCTCCCATCGTACCAACAGTGGGCAGCAGTGATAACCCTGTTCGCTGACAGAAGAACACCTCCACAGACACCTTGATTAGTTGTGCCAATAATACTGGAGATAAGTCCAGCCTGTAAATGTAAATATAGGAGTTTTATGACATGTCATGTTTACATTTATAAACTATTACTTGTGTTGAAAAAACTCTAACGGTTTAAAATGCGATATATATTAGTTAAACTTATTTGAAAATTATTTACTCTGCGGCCCGATGTTTCGGATGCTTGGCAACAGCTGTGGTTACGGGGAGAATCAAGATGGAGGGTGTCTCTGACGTCAAAGTAAAAACTGCTGCTGGTAGTTTGGCGAATCTGGCGTTTGCTGGTATGCTGTTTTTTGGAATCCAGAGTGATGTGATTCCAGGTTTTTGATAACTTGAGGTCGTCATATATCGCGTTGTAAACCGTTAAATTTAAAGTCTACTACTCGCGTAAACTACAGGCAGTATTTAACTGCGTTATTGCTCTAGTGGCTAGTTCATTTGATGGCTGGTCGCATCGTCGTCATCATCACGTTTTGAACCCACTGAACCATGATACAATTGTTGTTACATTCTAATAGGGATGTTAAAAGTGAAAACTTGAAGCGCTGTGCGTTTTTTAATAATAATTTTGCATCAATTACTTTGATTATTATTAGCCTACAAGTACTATAAGGTATGTGGTATAATACAATATCATTGATTTCGCGATTCTACACAAACATAACAATTTAAATTACGTTCAGAACAAAATCCCTTACGAATTTTTGGTCAAGTATCCAGACGCCAGTTGACAATTTACACATTACATAATAATGCACAATGTCGTTAATGGAAATAGAGATAACACGAGCGGGACTTTATACCTTGACAGCGTTTAGTACTGTTGAACCAATTGAGCTACCGTCCTCAACACGTCGTGATGGAATTTGTCAATTCACTTATTCAAGAACCCCTATGTGCTTCTTTACTATCATTTATTATACACTTATTTATACGTATTTTAGTTATATTAATTTTAAGCGTAATAAATTCTGTGGGGTTAAACATTTATTGTAAAATAATATTTATGCGTAGAAATAATATTAACAATAAATGGTAGATGAGATAAGGATAAATCTTATCACTACTTTAATTCCGGTAATATCAATTATAATATTGATGTATATGTAGTACTCATACATATTATATAATTAGCAAACAACAGAGGACAAAATCTACAACATCTTACATTAAGCGTGAAAAACTTTTAAAAGCCTGTCAGCAACATCTAATCTTTTAATATATACACTTGCTTAATCAATTGAAAATTTATAATAATACTGCCACACGTTACCTGGTAGGGAAATTCACCTAAATTGGCCGGTGATCCACCAGTAATCCTCGACGATAGGTATTCTTCTTCAGCAGCTCGAATCCTCTTAGCTTCTGGAATACCAAATCTTTCCATATAGTTCCATGCTGAATTCCACTCGGGGACGTCTCTTGCGGTGACGGCAGCAACGCACAGAGCGAGTGATACAAGAAGAGTAAATGGCTTCATGTTGGCAAAGGAGGGTCGAATTGAAAATAAAGAGGCAGTTCTTATATACGAGTATAATCAGATATAATTGTAGAGTTATCATAATTAAACGATTAAGAGATCGCATCGATTTCATGTTTGCTTCAATTTTAGCATAACATCGAGATAAGATAACTGTGATGAAGAGTGAAAGTGCAAATTATTGCATGCTCATAGGAAATGTCTATCTGTATACATAAATAGAATTATAAAGTATTGTTGATTTTTTGGGGGAGATCATTAAAAGAGTTTTATTAAAACGTGCACTACATGCGTAAAATACAGACAGTAATTAAAAACTTATTTTAAAGATACTGTCTATAGTTTACGCGAGTAGTACACATTTAAATAAAACACTTTAACGGTTTAAAACGCGATATATTAGTTAAACCTATTTGGAAATGATTTTTAACTTCGGCCCGACGTTTCGGATGCTTTGCTTTGTCTCCCCGTGACCACGGCTGCTGCAAAGCATCCGAAACGTCGGGCCGAAGTTAAAAATCATTTTCAAATAGGTTTAACTAATATATCGCGTTTTAAACCGTTAAAGTGTTTTATTTAAATATTTTAAAGATGCTAACATTATTGTTATATTTTTGTAGGACAAATGACATGTAAAAAAAGAATTCTTTTATTAATTAAGATACTGTGGAAGTGGAGGAAAAGTTACTGATGACTAAATAGAGGATAATGCAGATGATACTTGGCCTGACACAAATATTGATCTCTCTTAAAATAATCGACTCCCGTTTCCAACAATCGGATGTTTTGTTAATTTAAAGAAATAACTGTTATGTCATCGCTATGACACAAATGTTATGTTACACCACTCAAAGACTGGTTTGGTAAAACTTATTTGAAATTAATCAATAATCATGAAGTTATTTTCATCTTCTTTTTTAATGTTTTCAGAAAACTAAATTAATCTATATGAACTATATAATTCGATTGTTGTACGAGTAAAATTATACTTATATTTACGAGTATGCATGTATTTACATCTTTGATATACATATCGATGGTTAAAAGAAAAGGATAATTGATATTTCGGGCGAAAGAAGATTTGATGGAGTTTTAATGGTCATATTGCTGAAAATTTTTAGTCCCCGGCTCTAAGGTCTAGGATGACTTTTGTATCGCTTGATATCCAGTGAAACACATTATTTTCGAAATGTAATTTTGGTATAAAATACAAACATCTTGGACTCATTTGCGTCTAAGGCCCTTTATACCTTTGTATAAATTGCGTAATTTTAGGCTTGTGGTTTGTTTTGTCTTATTGCTTCTGACTTGTTAAAATCCGGGTGCATACGTATCTTTAGCAAAATAGAAGTTTTATTTTTTTGGACTTTACGTTTATGATCACAATAATATACATCGGTTATTCCTTACTGTCATTTAAATGCTTATAACACATCTATCACTTATTCACTATTATTGTGTTGGTTATATACTCTACTACTATTTATTATTTTAATACAACTGTGTCGCTTATGCAGTTTTTCTGTTTAATACATTATGAGAATTTATATTTCTTTTGTTTAATTTAATAAACAATAATTATACAATAGAACATATCTTTATAAGATGGTATAAGTCATCACTTATATTATGACCGTACCGACCGTAGTGATGTACCGCGACTTTTGTTTATTGCTTTTTACGTTAAATATTTTCTATTTTTCCTTTTATTTTAAATTTTGTACCTGATTGTACGCAGTCTTACCTTTTTTTTTAATTTACCTTTAGTATACCTAATATCTAGCATCCTTTTGATGTACTTCTAAGGAGTGTTGCTTGTGCCGCTTGTAAATTGTCCCTTATAACCCAACTAATACATTTTAAAGTTATATGACTTATGACCGCACATCCAAAACTCGATAAGACAATAAATAAAAAAATTACGCCAGTTTTTTCTTAACGCTTCTCTCGTACAATTTGGTGTTTTATCTGATAATGCTGACCTTTTAATCGTCACTATTAGGTATTAGATAGACATTATTATTTAATAATTTATTTTAAAAATTGTTGGTAAACTTGAATGGTTTGGTGAACAAATCCTTTATTGTTTATTGCTATAGACTTTTCAATAATTTACATATTGTTGTTGATGAAGTCCAAGAAATATGTCACTCTGGCGAAAGCGGCCGGGAAGCCCCAAGTGCAGCCTCTCGCACCGAAAGAGGTGATACCAACCTGAAAAAAATAACAAATATCTTCTCTATATAAACTATTTGAAATGTCAAAAAGAATTAAGTTAAATACTGTCTGTAGGTTACACGAGTAGTACACATTTAAATAAAATACTTCAACGGTTTAAAATGCGAAGTATATTAGTTAAACCTATTATACTTATATTTATAATTATGTCCAAATACATTTTAAGCCGTTAAAGTAATTTATTTAAATAAATTAAGTACTCTTTCTTATTCAACTTGTTTGTTACTAGATAATAAATTCAATATATATATTTGTCATGGTAGAGACATAAGTAATTAAAGTTTTATTTGTTACTAATGCAACAAAATGTAACTTAGGTCCGTTATCAAATTTGTAAGTAAGAACAGTAAGGTCGTAAACATACATGTGGGTTAGGCCTAATGCACTGATGTCCTAATTGTAGAATGTACGTACCAATATTCTCTTGTTATTCCTATTAACAACAAGTGGTCCTCCGGAGTCACCTCGGCAAACGTTTTTACTACCAGCACCGCTGGTACAAATGTTACCATCGACCACGTGGTTGGGGAAGAAGAGTCGACAATTTTCATTTGTCATCACAGGTAATGTTACAGCACTCAAAAACTGGTTCGGTGAAATAACAGCGTCTAAAATCAATAGATTATAAATTATAAATAAAAAAATAAAAAATGATTAATTATGTTCTTTTGATTTAAGTTTAAATTAAAACTTAAATTAAAAGACATTATTTCTTTAAAAGATCAATAACTCATGAAAATGTTTCGTTTACAATCAGTACAATGCGTCTAAGGTTCATTTATAATCCAAAATTACGATTAAAATACATACACCATACTGGTGGTCGTAGTTTGAATATTGTCAGATATTTTTGATTACCAAAATTACCTGAACCATCACCAAGGAATCCAAAACCAGAAGCAACTGCAGACTCTCCAGCGAAACTTTCAAAAATTTCTGATCCGGAAGGCAAAGCTGCTGGAGAAATTGTATCTGAAATTTTATTAAATGACATAAATATCTACAATGGACTCAGAATAAATCAAATAGTAATAAATCTTGAAACATAATTATTTTCATTCAAATAATGACTTTATAAATCAAATCTTAAGTCTAACAGCATTCCATGCTCAATTGGTACGAGCAACGAGTCTCGCCCGTGTTTCCGAATTTTTTCAAAGTAGATTATAAAGAATAATAAAATAATCGATAAGAAGTTTCAATTGTATTTAGAGCGAGTAATATACAATATAAATCTAGTTCAAACGAGTTAAAATCAGATTTAGTGTTACACTACTATACTTAACCGTCGCGTCGTATAAAAAAATCACCAGGGCTTACTTGAGAACTGAACGGCCTGGGGCAAACGAATCATGGCTATGTCGTTACGGATGGTTGAGGTCGTCCAGCCAGCGTGCATGACAACATCCTCAGAAAAAATTCTGACACCACCAGAGTATATCAATACTGAACCAAGGATAACTTCGAATCGCCAAGCGCGTGAGAATCCATCGTATCAACAATGGGCCGCTGTGAGGACTCTGGTAGATGAGAGAAGGACACCTCCACAGATACCCTGGTTGTTTGAGCCTGTGATGCTAGAGAGTAGTCCTGCCTGTACAAGGCAAAAGATCAAATAAACATTGACTATATGACGTTATTTTCATCTTCATATACACCAGTTCCTCATGGCCCATAACTACAAATAATAATAAAAATCATATTGGTACATATAATAATAACATTGATATACCTGGTAGGGAAATTCGCCTAAATTAGCAGGCGACCCGCCGGTGATTCTTGAAGCCAGGTATTGCTCTTCGGCAGCTCGAATCCGCTTTGCTTCGGGGATGCCTATTCTCTGTATGTAGTTCCATGATGTACTCAATTCAGGAATTTCGCTTGAGGAGACAGCAGCAACGCAAGCAGCAAGAGCTACTAATACAAAAGTAAACGACCTCATATTCAGTTAACGCAGAAGGAAGTGGAATAAGAAGGTAATGGAACACAGTTCTTATATTAAGCATTATCACACCATTGGATTAAAACAACAGTAGTATTATCATAATTAAAAGATTACCAAATCACGTCGAACTTGCTTTTGGTATTTGCGGGGGAAATACTATCATGATAACATTCAGCTTGAAAAGTGGAATTGCCCAAGATAATGCACAACGTAACATATCTTTAGAAGTATCCTTGCCTAGAACATTTTTGCAATATACTTGCCTTACGAAATATCCTCGACGTTCTGCAGTTTGCAAGATTATCTGTGTTTGAATTTTACCCCACTCAAAGACTGGTTTGGTAGAACTAATTTGGAATTAATCAATAATCGTTAATTTACTTTCGTCTTATTTTTTAATGTTTTAGTGTTGCAAAAAAACAAATTATCCAATGTGAACTATATAATTTATATAAGTACATATATATATGCAGAGGAAGCATTTAAAGGAAATACCGGATAAGCGACATTTTGGGTGAAAAAGAGTTTTGAATGTCAACTTACTGATTTTTATTTATTCCCATTGCGTTAGGATGACTTTTATACAGCTGTGTTAGAAACCAAATAAATAACAGCATTTTTGTAGTGTATTTTAGCATAACCCACCAAAGTTTTGATATTTATTACCTCAAAGGTAATAAATAATTTTTTTTTTTAATGGTTTTATGGCTTTGTAAAAATCGCATAATTTTAGACTTGTGGTTTATTATGTCTTCTTGCCTCGGACTTTTGTCTATGCCCATCCGTTCTTTACCAAAATAGAAATTTAATTTTTTGCTGTCACTTTACCTTTATGATCACAAAAAACATACGTCGTTTATTCCTTACCACCATTTAATACATTGTGAGAAATGATTCTGATGATCTTTTGCTTAATTTGATCATACAATATTATATAACAACTCATAATCAATAGAACATATCTTTATAAGATGGTGTAAGTGAAGTACATCACTGACGGGTGATGATGCCGCTCAACTTTTGTTTATTAATAGAATAACCGTGTTAAATATTCTTATCATGATGTAGATGAGACATTTATTTAACTCTACCATGCGCCAAGACAACACAAAGGGTTAAATATCCTATTTTTCCTTATAACTCTGTATTTGAGTGTATGTTATCTAAATTTTTGTTTGAATCTACTTATAACTACCTAATATCCAAAATTCTTATGACGTTGTCCCCTGTGCCATGGTTCCTTTTATGGTTCTAATTGTTGTCCCTTATACTTATCCAAGTAAGACGTCATAAGTCCAATTTCATTTGGGTCTAACAAAGAATATTATCAGTTATCACTAACCATCTTTACCCAACTAAGAAAAATTTGATGAATTGTACTTAAGCGACAATAAACTACGTAAGCGAACGTCAACTGAGATACATTTAAATACGAATAACTGCTATTTATTTATACATTTCAGAATTGTTTACGTCTAAACGATAAGACAACTACTGCAAAAGTTACGTCAGTTTTTTTTATCTAAGGCTTAAAACGCTTCTAATGTACAATTTGGTTTTGGTTCGGTTATCCCTTCTAACTGTCAATATGTGCCTTATCATTTAGTTGGTACAGAACTCTCCAAAATTTTTGGCCGAACTGAAGTTAGCGCGGTTGGTTACGCAGAACGCAATAAGCAGGTATAGGTTTCAACAAAGGGGGTGCACGGGTGCAGGGCGACTCGACTTTTTCCTTAAAATTGACAATACCGTGCGCAAGATGGCGGTCGCGCTATCTTCAACCCGGCCAAACTCCAAACTTGATTAGTTTATATATAAAATAAATAACACCTCTACAATAAATCCTTTATTGTTTATTGCTATAGACTTTTCAATAATTTACATATTGGTGTTGATGAAGTCCAAGAAATATGTCACTCTGGCGAAACCGGCCGGGAAGCCCCAAGTGCAGCCTCTCGCACCGAATGAGGTGATACCAACCTGAAAGAAGAGAGAAATGTGTTAAATTAATCACGTACGTAAACTAAAGCTAAATACTGTATGGCTTACGTGAGTAGTACACATTTAAATAAAACACTTCAACATGTTATGTTTATTATTTAAACATATATGGACATGATTATAAATAAAAGTACATATAATAAGTTTAACTAATGTACATCGCGTTTTAAACCCTTAAGTGTTTTATTTCAATGGATTAAGTTCTCTTTATAATTCTTCTTGCTTGTTACTAAATAATAGATTCAATATATAAATATTTGACATGGCACAGACATTGTTATTAAAATTTCATTTATTACTAATGCAAAAAAATATGTAAACTTTGTAGTAAGCACAGTAAGGTTGAAAACAAAAATGTAGGTTAGGCCCCAATGCGCTGATGTCTCAATAGTAATATGTACGTACCAATAATCTCGTGTTATTCCTATTAACAACAAGTGGTCCGCCGGAGTCACCTCGACAAATGTTTTTACCACCAGCACCGCTGGTACAAATGTTACCATCGACAACGTGGTTGGGGAAGAAGAGTCGACAATTTTCATTTGTCATCACAGGCAATGTTACAGCACTCAAAAACTGGTTCGGTGCAATAACAGCGTCTAAAATTAATAGATAATAATTACTAAATAAAAAATAATTAATTTTGGTCTTTTATTTTAAGTTTTATAGGTATAAGTAAGAATGTGTGGTTTACTATGGATACAATGAGTCAAAGGTGCATGTATAATCCAATACTATGATTAAGGGAGATGTAGTTATAGCAAACAATGATACACTGGTGGTTGCACTTTGATTATTGCCAGATGTTTTTTCTTGTTACACTTACCTGAACCATCACCAAGGAATCCAAAACCAGAAGCAACTGCAGACTCTCCAGCGAAACTTTCAAAAATTTCTGATCCGGAAGGCAAAGCTGCTGGAGAAATTGTATCTGAAATTTGTTAAATGACATAAATATTTACAATTGACAAAAAATAAATCAAATAGTACTAAATCTTGAAACATAATTATTTTCATTCATATAATGACTTTATAAATCAAATCTTAAGTCTAACAGCATTCCATGCTCAATTGGTACGAGCAACGAGTCTCGCCCGTGTTTCCGATTTTTTTCAAAGTAGATTATAAAGAATAATAAAATAATCGATAAGCAGTCTTCGAAATTTTCAATTTCAGATTTAATATAGAGCCGTCAACTGTTAATATTACGTATATTATAATTGGTTTATTTTTATTTTTATTTATATTCTCGACCATTGCATTGCAGCATTTTACATAATTTCAATTCTGCAGATGTCGTAAAATTTTGGTTATAAGAATTAAATTTAAGATGTTTGTATGAATTTAAATTTTCTGATCTTTCAAAGTACTCTATTATTACCAGTCACCTCATAGATCTAGAAAAAAACATAATGCATCTAAGAAATTAGTTTCGAAATTACACGACCTATTGGCTTCACCGTCGTATAAAAAATTGACATGGACTTACTTGAGAACTGAACGGCCTGGGGCAAACGAATCATGGCTATGTCGTTACGGATGGTTGAGATCGACCAGCCAGCGTGCATGACAACATCCTCAGAAAAAATTCTGACACCACCGGAGTATATCAGTACTGAACCAAGGATAACTTCGAATTGCCAAGCGCGTGAGAATCCGTCGTCCCAACAATGGGCAGCTGTGAGGACTCTGGTCGATGAGAGAAGGACACCTCCACAGATACCCTGGTCGGTTGAGTCTGTGATACTAGATAGCAGTCCAGCCTGTAGAAGAGAAAAATTATTTTAAGATTGACTATATGACGTTATTCTCATAACATGGCTTACACAAATAATAATAAAAACCATATTGGTGCTTACAAGAATAATAATATTATGCTTGGTATGACATATATACCAACCTGATAGGGAAATTCGCCTAAATTAGCAGGCGACCCGCCGGTGATTCTTGAAGCCAAGTATTGCTCTTCGGCAGCGCGAATCCGCTTTGCTTTGGGGATGCCTATTCTCTGTATGTAGTTCCATGATGTACTCCATTCAGGAATTTCGCTTGAGGAGACAGCAGCAACGCAAGCAGCAAGAGCTACTAATACAAAAGTAAACGACCTCATATTCAGTTAACGCAGAAGGAAGTGGAATAAGAAGGTAATGGAACACAGTTCTTATATTAAGCATTATCACACCATTGGATTAAAACAACAGTAGTATTATCATAATTAAAAGATTACCAAATCACGTCGAACTTGCTTTTGGTATTTGCGGGGGAAATACTATCATGATAACATTCAGCTTGAAAAGTGGAATTGCCCAAGATAATGCACAACGTAACATATCTTTAGAAGTATCCTTGCCTAGAACATTTTTGCAATATACTTGCCTTACGAAATATCCTCGACGTTCTGCAGTTTGCAAGATTATCTGTGTTTGAATTTTACCCCACTCAAAGACTGGTTTGGTAGAACTAATTTGGAATTAATCAATAATCGTTAATTTACTTTCGTCTTATTTTTTAATGTTTTAGTGTTGCAAAAAAACAAATTATCCAATGTGAACTATATAATTTATATAAGTACATATATATATGCAGAGGAAGCATTTAAAGGAAATACCGGATAAGCGACATTTTGGGTGAAAAAGAGTTTTGAATGTCAACTTACTGATTTTTATTTATTCCCATTGCGTTAGGATGACTTTTATACAGCTGTGTTAGAAACCAAATAAATAACAGCATTTTTGTAGTGTATTTTAGCATAACCCACCAAAGTTTTGATATTTATTACCTCAAAGGTAATAAATAATCTTTTTTTTAAATGTTTTTATGGCTTTGTAAAAATCGCATAATTTTAGACTTGTGGTTTATTATGTCTTCTTGCCTCGGACTTTTGTCTATGCCCATCCGTTCTTTACCAAAATAGAAATTTAATTTTTTGCTGTCACTTTACCTTTATGATCACAAAAAACATACGTCGTTTATTCCTTACCACCATTTAATACATTGTGAGAAATGATTCTGATGATCTTTTGCTTAATTTGATCATACAATATTATATAACAACTCATAATCAATAGAACATATCTTTATAAGATGGTGTAAGTGAAGTACATCACTGACGGGTGATGATGCCGCTCAACTTTTGTTTATTAATAGAATAACCGTGTTAAATATTCTTATCATGATGTAGATGAGACATTTATTTAACTCTACCATGCGCCAAGACAACACAAAGGGTTAAATATCCTATTTTTCCTTATAACTCTGTATTTGAGTGTATGTTATCTAAATTTTTGTTTGAATCTACTTATAACTACCTAATATCCAAAATTCTTATGACGTTGTCCCCTGTGCCATGGTTCCTTTTATGGTTCTAATTGTTGTCCCTTATACTTATCCAAGTAAGACGTCATAAGTCCAATTTCATTTGGGTCTAACAAAGAATATTATCAGTTATCACTAACCATCTTTACCCAACTAAGAAAAATTTGATGAATTGTACTTAAGCGACAATAAACTACGTAAGCGAACGTCAACTGAGATACATTTAAATACGAATAACTGCTATTTATTTATACATTTCAGAATTGTTTACGTCTAAACGATAAGACAACTACTGCAAAAGTTACGTCAGTTTTTTTTATCTAAGGCTTAAAACGCTTCTAATGTACAATTTGGTTTTGGTTCGGTTATCCCTTCTAACTGTCAATATGTGCCTTATCATTTAGTTGGTACAGAACTCTCCAAAATTTTTGGCCGAACTGAAGTTAGCGCGGTTGGTTACGCAGAACGCAATAAGCAGGTATAGGTTTCAACAAAGGGGGTGCACGGGTGCAGGGCGACTCGACTTTTTCCTTAAAATTGACAATACCGTGCGCAAGATGGCGGTCGCGCTATCTTCAACCCGGCCAAACTCCAAACTTGATTAGTTTATATATAAAATAAATAACACCTCTACAATAAATCCTTTATTGTTTATTGCTATAGACTTTTCAATAATTTACATATTGGTGTTGATGAAGTCCAAGAAATATGTCACTCTGGCGAAACCGGCCGGGAAGCCCCAAGTGCAGCCTCTCGCACCGAATGAGGTGATACCAACCTGAAAGAAGAGAGAAATGTGTTAAATTAATCACGTACGTAAACTAAAGCTAAATACTGTATGGCTTACGTGAGTAGTACACATTTAAATAAAACACTTCAACATGTTATGTTTATTATTTAAACATATATGGACATGATTATAAATAAAAGTACATATAATAAGTTTAACTAATGTACATCGCGTTTTAAACCCTTAAGTGTTTTATTTCAATGGATTAAGTTCTCTTTATAATTCTTCTTGCTTGTTACTAAATAATAGATTCAATATATAAATATTTGACATGGCACAGACATTGTTATTAAAATTTCATTTATTACTAATGCAAAAAAATATGTAAACTTTGTAGTAAGCACAGTAAGGTTGAAAACAAAAATGTAGGTTAGGCCCCAATGCGCTGATGTCTCAATAGTAATATGTACGTACCAATAATCTCGTGTTATTCCTATTAACAACAAGTGGTCCGCCGGAGTCACCTCGACAAATGTTTTTACCACCAGCACCGCTGGTACAAATGTTACCATCGACAACGTGGTTGGGGAAGAAGAGTCGACAATTTTCATTTGTCATCACAGGCAATGTTACAGCACTCAAAAACTGGTTCGGTGCAATAACAGCGTCTAAAATTAATAGATAATAATTACTAAATAAAAAATAATTAATTTTGGTCTTTTATTTTAAGTTTTATAGGTATAAGTAAGAATGTGTGGTTTACTATGGATACAATGAGTCAAAGGTGCATGTATAATCCAATACTATGATTAAGGGAGATGTAGTTATAGCAAACAATGATACACTGGTGGTTGCACTTTGATTATTGCCAGATGTTTTTTCTTGTTACACTTACCTGAACCATCACCAAGGAATCCAAAACCAGAAGCAACTGCAGACTCTCCAGCGAAACTTTCAAAAATTTCTGATCCGGAAGGCAAAGCTGCTGGAGAAATTGTATCTGAAATTTGTTAAATGACATAAATATTTACAATTGACAAAAAATAAATCAAATAGTACTAAATCTTGAAACATAATTATTTTCATTCATATAATGACTTTATAAATCAAATCTTAAGTCTAACAGCATTCCATGCTCAATTGGTACGAGCAACGAGTCTCGCCCGTGTTTCCGATTTTTTTCAAAGTAGATTATAAAGAATAATAAAATAATCGATAAGCAGTCTTCGAAATTTTCAATTTCAGATTTAATATAGAGCCGTCAACTGTTAATATTACGTATATTATAATTGGTTTATTTTTATTTTTATTTATATTCTCGACCATTGCATTGCAGCATTTTACATAATTTCAATTCTGCAGATGTCGTAAAATTTTGGTTATAAGAATTAAATTTAAGATGTTTGTATGAATTTAAATTTTCTGATCTTTCAAAGTACTCTATTATTACCAGTCACCTCATAGATCTAGAAAAAAACATAATGCATCTAAGAAATTAGTTTCGAAATTACACGACCTATTGGCTTCACCGTCGTATAAAAAATTGACATGGACTTACTTGAGAACTGAACGGCCTGGGGCAAACGAATCATGGCTATGTCGTTACGGATGGTTGAGATCGACCAGCCAGCGTGCATGACAACATCCTCAGAAAAAATTCTGACACCACCGGAGTATATCAGTACTGAACCAAGGATAACTTCGAATTGCCAAGCGCGTGAGAATCCGTCGTCCCAACAATGGGCAGCTGTGAGGACTCTGGTCGATGAGAGAAGGACACCTCCACAGATACCCTGGTCGGTTGAGTCTGTGATACTAGATAGCAGTCCAGCCTGTAGAAGAGAAAAATTATTTTAAGATTGACTATATGACGTTATTCTCATAACATGGCTTACACAAATAATAATAAAAACCATATTGGTGCTTACAAGAATAATAATATTATGCTTGGTATGACATATATACCAACCTGATAGGGAAATTCGCCTAAATTAGCAGGCGACCCGCCGGTGATTCTTGAAGCCAAGTATTGCTCTTCGGCAGCGCGAATCCGCTTTGCTTTGGGGATGCCTATTCTCTGTATGTAGTTCCATGATGTACTCCATTCAGGAATTTCGCTTGAGGAGACAGCAGCAACGCAAGCAGCAAGAGCTACTAATACAAAAGTAAACGACCTCATATTCAGTTAACGCAGAAGGAAGTGGAATAAGAAGGTAATGGAACACAGTTCTTATATTAAGCATTATCACACCATTGGATTAAAACAACAGTAGTATTATCATAATTAAAAGATTACCAAATCACGTCGAACTTGCTTTTGGTATTTGCGGGGGAAATACTATCATGATAACATTCAGCTTGAAAAGTGGAATTGCCCAAGATAATGCACAACGTAACATATCTTTAGAAGTATCCTTGCCTAGAACATTTTTGCAATATACTTGCCTTACGAAATATCCTCGACGTTCTGCAGTTTGCAAGATTATCTGTGTTTGAATTTTACCCCACTCAAAGACTGGTTTGGTAGAACTAATTTGGAATTAATCAATAATCGTTAATTTACTTTCGTCTTATTTTTTAATGTTTTAGTGTTGCAAAAAAACAAATTATCCAATGTGAACTATATAATTTATATAAGTACATATATATATGCAGAGGAAGCATTTAAAGGAAATACCGGATAAGCGACATTTTGGGTGAAAAAGAGTTTTGAATGTCAACTTACTGATTTTTATTTATTCCCATTGCGTTAGGATGACTTTTATACAGCTGTGTTAGAAACCAAATAAATAACAGCATTTTTGTAGTGTATTTTAGCATAACCCACCAAAGTTTTGATATTTATTACCTCAAAGGTAATAAATAATCTTTTTTTTAAATGTTTTTATGGCTTTGTAAAAATCGCATAATTTTAGACTTGTGGTTTATTATGTCTTCTTGCCTCGGACTTTTGTCTATGCCCATCCGTTCTTTACCAAAATAGAAATTTAATTTTTTGCTGTCACTTTACCTTTATGATCACAAAAAACATACGTCGTTTATTCCTTACCACCATTTAATACATTGTGAGAAATGATTCTGATGATCTTTTGCTTAATTTGATCATACAATATTATATAACAACTCATAATCAATAGAACATATCTTTATAAGATGGTGTAAGTGAAGTACATCACTGACGGGTGATGATGCCGCTCAACTTTTGTTTATTAATAGAATAACCGTGTTAAATATTCTTATCATGATGTAGATGAGACATTTATTTAACTCTACCATGCGCCAAGACAACACAAAGGGTTAAATATCCTATTTTTCCTTATAACTCTGTATTTGAGTGTATGTTATCTAAATTTTTGTTTGAATCTACTTATAACTACCTAATATCCAAAATTCTTATGACGTTGTCCCCTGTGCCATGGTTCCTTTTATGGTTCTAATTGTTGTCCCTTATACTTATCCAAGTAAGACGTCATAAGTCCAATTTCATTTGGGTCTAACAAAGAATATTATCAGTTATCACTAACCATCTTTACCCAACTAAGAAAAATTTGATGAATTGTACTTAAGCGACAATAAACTACGTAAGCGAACGTCAACTGAGATACATTTAAATACGAATAACTGCTATTTATTTATACATTTCAGAATTGTTTACGTCTAAACGATAAGACAACTACTGCAAAAGTTACGTCAGTTTTTTTTATCTAAGGCTTAAAACGCTTCTAATGTACAATTTGGTTTTGGTTCGGTTATCCCTTCTAACTGTCAATATGTGCCTTATCATTTAGTTGGTACAGAACTCTCCAAAATTTTTGGCCGAACTGAAGTTAGCGCGGTTGGTTACGCAGAACGCAATAAGCAGGTATAGGTTTCAACAAAGGGGGTGCACGGGTGCAGGGCGACTCGACTTTTTCCTTAAAATTGACAATACCGTGCGCAAGATGGCGGTCGCGCTATCTTCAACCCGGCCAAACTCCAAACTTGATTAGTTTATATATAAAATAAATAACACCTCTACAATAAATCCTTTATTGTTTATTGCTATAGACTTTTCAATAATTTACATATTGGTGTTGATGAAGTCCAAGAAATATGTCACTCTGGCGAAACCGGCCGGGAAGCCCCAAGTGCAGCCTCTCGCACCGAATGAGGTGATACCAACCTGAAAGAAGAGAGAAATGTGTTAAATTAATCACGTACGTAAACTAAAGCTAAATACTGTATGGCTTACGTGAGTAGTACACATTTAAATAAAACACTTCAACATGTTATGTTTATTATTTAAACATATATGGACATGATTATAAATAAAAGTACATATAATAAGTTTAACTAATGTACATCGCGTTTTAAACCCTTAAGTGTTTTATTTCAATGGATTAAGTTCTCTTTATAATTCTTCTTGCTTGTTACTAAATAATAGATTCAATATATAAATATTTGACATGGCACAGACATTGTTATTAAAATTTCATTTATTACTAATGCAAAAAAATATGTAAACTTTGTAGTAAGCACAGTAAGGTTGAAAACAAAAATGTAGGTTAGGCCCCAATGCGCTGATGTCTCAATAGTAATATGTACGTACCAATAATCTCGTGTTATTCCTATTAACAACAAGTGGTCCGCCGGAGTCACCTCGACAAATGTTTTTACCACCAGCACCGCTGGTACAAATGTTACCATCGACAACGTGGTTGGGGAAGAAGAGTCGACAATTTTCATTTGTCATCACAGGCAATGTTACAGCACTCAAAAACTGGTTCGGTGCAATAACAGCGTCTAAAATTAATAGATAATAATTACTAAATAAAAAATAATTAATTTTGGTCTTTTATTTTAAGTTTTATAGGTATAAGTAAGAATGTGTGGTTTACTATGGATACAATGAGTCAAAGGTGCATGTATAATCCAATACTATGATTAAGGGAGATGTAGTTATAGCAAACAATGATACACTGGTGGTTGCACTTTGATTATTGCCAGATGTTTTTTCTTGTTACACTTACCTGAACCATCACCAAGGAATCCAAAACCAGAAGCAACTGCAGACTCTCCAGCGAAACTTTCAAAAATTTCTGATCCGGAAGGCAAAGCTGCTGGAGAAATTGTATCTGAAATTTGTTAAATGACATAAATATTTACAATTGACAAAAAATAAATCAAATAGTACTAAATCTTGAAACATAATTATTTTCATTCATATAATGACTTTATAAATCAAATCTTAAGTCTAACAGCATTCCATGCTCAATTGGTACGAGCAACGAGTCTCGCCCGTGTTTCCGATTTTTTTCAAAGTAGATTATAAAGAATAATAAAATAATCGATAAGCAGTCTTCGAAATTTTCAATTTCAGATTTAATGTAGAGCCGTCAACTGTTAATATTACGTATATTATAATTGGTTTATTTTTATTTTTATTTATATTCTCGACCATTGCATTGCAGCATTTTACATAATTTCAATTCTGCAGATGTCGTAAAATTTTGGTTATAAGAATTAAATTTAAGATGTTTGTATGAATTTAAATTTTCTGATCTTTCAAAGTACTCTATTATTACCAGTCACCTCATAGATCTAGAAAAAAACATAATGCATCTAAGAAATTAGTTTCGAAATTACACGACCTATTGGCTTCACCGTCGTATAAAAAATTGACATGGACTTACTTGAGAACTGAACGGCCTGGGGCAAACGAATCATGGCTATGTCGTTACGGATGGTTGAGATCGACCAGCCAGCGTGCATGACAACATCCTCAGAAAAAATTCTGACACCACCGGAGTATATCAGTACTGAACCAAGGATAACTTCGAATTGCCAAGCGCGTGAGAATCCGTCGTCCCAACAATGGGCAGCTGTGAGGACTCTGGTCGATGAGAGAAGGACACCTCCACAGATACCCTGGTCGGTTGAGTCTGTGATACTAGATAGCAGTCCAGCCTGTAGAAGAGAAAAATTATTTTAAGATTGACTATATGACGTTATTCTCATAACATGGCTTACACAAATAATAATAAAAACCATATTGGTGCTTACAAGAATAATAATATTATGCTTGGTATGACATATATACCAACCTGATAGGGAAATTCGCCTAAATTAGCAGGCGACCCGCCGGTGATTCTTGAAGCCAAGTATTGCTCTTCGGCAGCGCGAATCCGCTTTGCTTTGGGGATGCCTATTCTCTGTATGTAGTTCCATGATGTACTCCATTCAGGAATTTCGCTTGAGGAGACAGCAGCAACGCAAGCAGCAAGAGCTACTAATACAAAAGTAAACGACCTCATATTCAGTTAACGCAGAAGGAAGTGGAATAAGAAGGTAATGGAACACAGTTCTTATATTAAGCATTATCACACCATTGGATTAAAACAACAGTAGTATTATCATAATTAAAAGATTACCAAATCACGTCGAACTTGCTTTTGGTATTTGCGGGGGAAATACTATCATGATAACATTCAGCTTGAAAAGTGGAATTGCCCAAGATAATGCACAACGTAACATATCTTTAGAAGTATCCTTGCCTAGAACATTTTTGCAATATACTTGCCTTACGAAATATCCTCGACGTTCTGCAGTTTGCAAGATTATCTGTGTTTGAATTTTACCCCACTCAAAGACTGGTTTGGTAGAACTAATTTGGAATTAATCAATAATCGTTAATTTACTTTCGTCTTATTTTTTAATGTTTTAGTGTTGCAAAAAAACAAATTATCCAATGTGAACTATATAATTTATATAAGTACATATATATATGCAGAGGAAGCATTTAAAGGAAATACCGGATAAGCGACATTTTGGGTGAAAAAGAGTTTTGAATGTCAACTTACTGATTTTTATTTATTCCCATTGCGTTAGGATGACTTTTATACAGCTGTGTTAGAAACCAAATAAATAACAGCATTTTTGTAGTGTATTTTAGCATAACCCACCAAAGTTTTGATATTTATTACCTCAAAGGTAATAAATAATCTTTTTTTTAAATGTTTTTATGGCTTTGTAAAAATCGCATAATTTTAGACTTGTGGTTTATTATGTCTTCTTGCCTCGGACTTTTGTCTATGCCCATCCGTTCTTTACCAAAATAGAAATTTAATTTTTTGCTGTCACTTTACCTTTATGATCACAAAAAACATACGTCGTTTATTCCTTACCACCATTTAATACATTGTGAGAAATGATTCTGATGATCTTTTGCTTAATTTGATCATACAATATTATATAACAACTCATAATCAATAGAACATATCTTTATAAGATGGTGTAAGTGAAGTACATCACTGACGGGTGATGATGCCGCTCAACTTTTGTTTATTAATAGAATAACCGTGTTAAATATTCTTATCATGATGTAGATGAGACATTTATTTAACTCTACCATGCGCCAAGACAACACAAAGGGTTAAATATCCTATTTTTCCTTATAACTCTGTATTTGAGTGTATGTTATCTAAATTTTTGTTTGAATCTACTTATAACTACCTAATATCCAAAATTCTTATGACGTTGTCCCCTGTGCCATGGTTCCTTTTATGGTTCTAATTGTTGTCCCTTATACTTATCCAAGTAAGACGTCATAAGTCCAATTTCATTTGGGTCTAACAAAGAATATTATCAGTTATCACTAACCATCTTTACCCAACTAAGAAAAATTTGATGAATTGTACTTAAGCGACAATAAACTACGTAAGCGAACGTCAACTGAGATACATTTAAATACGAATAACTGCTATTTATTTATACATTTCAGAATTGTTTACGTCTAAACGATAAGACAACTACTGCAAAAGTTACGTCAGTTTTTTTTATCTAAGGCTTAAAACGCTTCTAATGTACAATTTGGTTTTGGTTCGGTTATCCCTTCTAACTGTCAATATGTGCCTTATCATTTAGTTGGTACAGAACTCTCCAAAATTTTTGGCCGAACTGAAGTTAGCGCGGTTGGTTACGCAGAACGCAATAAGCAGGTATAGGTTTCAACAAAGGGGGTGCACGGGTGCAGGGCGACTCGACTTTTTCCTTAAAATTGACAATACCGTGCGCAAGATGGCGGTCGCGCTATCTTCAACCCGGCCAAACTCCAAACTTGATTAGTTTATATATAAAATAAATAACACCTCTACAATAAATCCTTTATTGTTTATTGCTATAGACTTTTCAATAATTTACATATTGGTGTTGATGAAGTCCAAGAAATATGTCACTCTGGCGAAACCGGCCGGGAAGCCCCAAGTGCAGCCTCTCGCACCGAATGAGGTGATACCAACCTGAAAGAAGAGAGAAATGTGTTAAATTAATCACGTACGTAAACTAAAGCTAAATACTGTATGGCTTACGTGAGTAGTACACATTTAAATAAAACACTTCAACATGTTATGTTTATTATTTAAACATATATGGACATGATTATAAATAAAAGTACATATAATAAGTTTAACTAATGTACATCGCGTTTTAAACCCTTAAGTGTTTTATTTCAATGGATTAAGTTCTCTTTATAATTCTTCTTGCTTGTTACTAAATAATAGATTCAATATATAAATATTTGACATGGCACAGACATTGTTATTAAAATTTCATTTATTACTAATGCAAAAAAATATGTAAACTTTGTAGTAAGCACAGTAAGGTTGAAAACAAAAATGTAGGTTAGGCCCCAATGCGCTGATGTCTCAATAGTAATATGTACGTACCAATAATCTCGTGTTATTCCTATTAACAACAAGTGGTCCGCCGGAGTCACCTCGACAAATGTTTTTACCACCAGCACCGCTGGTACAAATGTTACCATCGACAACGTGGTTGGGGAAGAAGAGTCGACAATTTTCATTTGTCATCACAGGCAATGTTACAGCACTCAAAAACTGGTTCGGTGCAATAACAGCGTCTAAAATTAATAGATAATAATTACTAAATAAAAAATAATTAATTTTGGTCTTTTATTTTAAGTTTTATAGGTATAAGTAAGAATGTGTGGTTTACTATGGATACAATGAGTCAAAGGTGCATGTATAATCCAATACTATGATTAAGGGAGATGTAGTTATAGCAAACAATGATACACTGGTGGTTGCACTTTGATTATTGCCAGATGTTTTTTCTTGTTACACTTACCTGAACCATCACCAAGGAATCCAAAACCAGAAGCAACTGCAGACTCTCCAGCGAAACTTTCAAAAATTTCTGATCCGGAAGGCAAAGCTGCTGGAGAAATTGTATCTGAAATTTGTTAAATGACATAAATATTTACAATTGACAAAAAATAAATCAAATAGTACTAAATCTTGAAACATAATTATTTTCATTCATATAATGACTTTATAAATCAAATCTTAAGTCTAACAGCATTCCATGCTCAATTGGTACGAGCAACGAGTCTCGCCCGTGTTTCCGATTTTTTTCAAAGTAGATTATAAAGAATAATAAAATAATCGATAAGCAGTCTTCGAAATTTTCAATTTCAGATTTAATGTAGAGCCGTCAACTGTTAATATTACGTATATTATAATTGGTTTATTTTTATTTTTATTTATATTCTCGACCATTGCATTGCAGCATTTTACATAATTTCAATTCTGCAGATGTCGTAAAATTTTGGTTATAAGAATTAAATTTAAGATGTTTGTATGAATTTAAATTTTCTGATCTTTCAAAGTACTCTATTATTACCAGTCACCTCATAGATCTAGAAAAAAACATAATGCATCTAAGAAATTAGTTTCGAAATTACACGACCTATTGGCTTCACCGTCGTATAAAAAATTGACATGGACTTACTTGAGAACTGAACGGCCTGGGGCAAACGAATCATGGCTATGTCGTTACGGATGGTTGAGATCGACCAGCCAGCGTGCATGACAACATCCTCAGAAAAAATTCTGACACCACCGGAGTATATCAGTACTGAACCAAGGATAACTTCGAATTGCCAAGCGCGTGAGAATCCGTCGTCCCAACAATGGGCAGCTGTGAGGACTCTGGTCGATGAGAGAAGGACACCTCCACAGATACCCTGGTCGGTTGAGTCTGTGATACTAGATAGCAGTCCAGCCTGTAGAAGAGAAAAATTATTTTAAGATTGACTATATGACGTTATTCTCATAACATGGCTTACACAAATAATAATAAAAACCATATTGGTGCTTACAAGAATAATAATATTATGCTTGGTATGACATATATACCAACCTGATAGGGAAATTCGCCTAAATTAGCAGGCGACCCGCCGGTGATTCTTGAAGCCAAGTATTGCTCTTCGGCAGCGCGAATCCGCTTTGCTTTGGGGATGCCTATTCTCTGTATGTAGTTCCATGATGTACTCCATTCAGGAATTTCGCTTGAGGAGACTGCAGCAACGCATGCAGCAAGAGCTACTACAAAAGTAAACAACCTCATATTCAGCGAACGCAGTAGAAAGTGGAATAAGAAGGTAATGGAACACAGTTCTTATATTAAGCATTATCACATAATTAGATCAAAAACAAGAGTGATATCATCATAATTCAAAGATTAACATGTCTCGTCGATCTAGCTTGGGCCATTCCACTTTTCAAGCCCAAAATGATATCATAATGATAACATTTTAGAAAGTGGTATGGCCCAAGATACTCATACTGTCGCAAAACATAAAATGTATCTTGAAGTATTCCCGATGGCCACATACTTAAGAATAGTTCACAAAATATTCACAACCTTTATGCTGCTTGAAAAATTTCCTGTGCTCGAATCTCAGGCAAACGCAATAAAGAGTCAAGCAAAGCGTAAAATTTTAACTTGTAACTAATAGTCAGGTTTTAAATTCTTTATTATTCTCTTTATACAATTAATTCCTTACATTAAATAATAACATACATAACATATTACCCATCATTTCTCGAAAGCGTATAAATATGAACTAATGAGTTTGTGGGTGCAAAATATCAGCACTTTCGAAGCTTCAAAATCTGAAATGACGTCACTCATTACCCAGCGATTAATAGTGGTGCGACAATTATCACGCTAATTAAATTTACATGCAATAACTAATTTAGTGAGTGCAAATCCACCTAGGGCTGAAAACTTGGCACTTCACTTCAGCTTTGGTTAATAAATTTAAAGGCTTTACGTATTATTATTTATGTATTATATTCAACCTTATATATATTGCGTTGCAATCCGACGACGCGGACGACGTCGTGGGTTACAGTTTAAATTTATAATGTTAAACAGGAGATTTGCAAAGCCCTGACACAGCTCGTTTAAAATAACTAAGATAGTCTATTGATAATAATTTAAATTAATAAATCGTATTATATTTCGAACGGTTCATGTTCTTAATTCAAAAACAGGACCACGCTTTTACACTTTCTTTATTCAAAAATTCGAATGACTCGAAACCAGTAACTCTTAATACATAAATAGGAATATTACGACTATTTCGAAGTACGTTCGAGCACGACAAGGAATCGTTTCGTCATCCAGACGATGATGTTTCATGACGCTGCCTCTTGACAAACGTCCACTTGAAGAAGATCTTCACTCCGTATCGAATATCGAACAAGCAGTTGCAAGTATTGAGGATTCTGTGGAAATCGGAATCGTGCTTGTGAACTAACGCGTTGTGAGTCTCACAGAACCGAATTCGATTAATGTTTGAAATCTCTCGCTGCATCGAGTGACGTCTAATCGAATTACAATGCACGTTTCGGTTTCCTAAAAACTTGAGGAGTGTATGATAAAATAGATTGAAAAATGTAATTCTGGAAACATAATCAAACGTATATTAATAATTTACGTTCAAATAAAAGCTGACAAGATTTTCTTATAATGAATTTTAAAACAATATTGTTCAGTCAACTTTCTGATGGGTACCTATAATCTACACGATTAAGTTTTTTAATTTAAAATGTGACAAGTTATAATACTTTTGAAAACTTTATTATTTTTTACATGTTATTGCACATGAAGGCACTATATAATTTAATAATTGAGCTAGTAGGGCTCGTAGCTCAGTTGGTAGAGCAACAGCACGGAACGCTGACGATGCCGGTTCAATTCCAGCTCGAGTCGAAATTTTTTTCAATTTATTTTTGATTTTTCAGTTATTATACTTGTCACGTGTGTAATTAGTTGATTTTTAAGTATGTTAAAGATTGTGTCTTTTTTATCAATATAGTGTACGTGCAATTAGGTAATCCAAAAATTTTATAATCTATAATCCAAATCCTAAATGCGATGATACCACATTATTTATACTTTTTTGTTTAAATGTTTTTTAGGTCTTAGTTAAGTCACATATCTATATAGTCTGTGTTGCGCTCTGCATTCAATCCAGTCGTTTGACACCGGTTCGAACTCTGTTTAACAGTAAACTGTTAAACAGAGTTCGAACCTAAAGGTTATAGTGAAAAATACATAGTAATTCGGCTTAATATTTAAATTTTTTAATATTAAGACGCACACTTATTATATTTTTAAATAAAACATTTTAACGGTTTAAAACGCGATGTACACTGTCTGCAGTTTACGCGAATCGCACACTAAGCTTAAAACGCAATATATTAATTATACTTAATATAATTATTAAATATTCAACTTATTTGAAAATTATTTTAATCACGGCCTGACGTTTCGCATGCTTTGCAGCAGCGCGGTTCACGTAGTTAAAATAGTTTTCCAAAAAGTTTAACTAATTTATATTGCGTTTAAAACCATTCCTTTTTTAAGCGATATTTGTTAAACTCACGGGGAGACCACGACTGCTGCAGAGTATCCGAAAAGCTAGATCGTAGTTATACGTCGCGTTTTAAACCGTTAAAGTATTTATTTAAATGTGTAATACTCGCGTAAACTTCAGACAGTAATTATATTTCTTAATATCACAGCTACATTATGTTATGAGCCCTTATATAATACAAACCTTTTGTTACAAACACAACAGCGCTTTTAACTGACGTGACAATATTTGCTTCTGGCTGTTCGGTGTTTTGTTCCGAGGGTTGCATCTCCCGACACGCTTCGCTAATTCAGTTTTCGATTCGCGCAAGGGACTGTCATTCAAACGGATATTCTGCTCATAATTTGAGCCCTTTCAACGTGACCTCGGGAATACACGATGTCTAATGTTAATACTGTGAGAATATAGTTGCACTGAACGCAGGAGAGGTCTGACTAAGTTGGTGTTATCAGTTGCTAGACACAAACTTTTCAGTTAAGCTGACGTATTCTAATTTAATTCTTGAACGTTCCGGATGATTGCTTTTGCGTTAAATGGATTCAGAGCTCTACCTTTGAGTATTTGCGATGTTAGATTCTCACTTGCATACATAGTATGTGGAAATGCTTTATATTTTGTACTTCAAATACAAGTATTACCGTACTTAAGTTAAAGATGGCCTCGTTGGTATGGCTATCTATGGGTCATGAGTTCAACCCCAGCGGGTTCAAAATTTTGAATCAATGCATAAAGTTTTTTAAGGAGTTGCCATTCTTAATTTTTTCGAATTCTGCATATTTATATTATCTTTTTATGTTTAGTTAGAAGTTAGATCCCGTCGTTCTTGCATGTTACTTTCAAAAGTTAGTCATATAGTATCCCAGACATTTTTTTAGATCATTTAAAGAGGAATCATTCTTTGATACATACATCTTAAACTGTTTTCGCAGCATACACATCGGAAAGCAACCAAGATGAATGATTTCCCCTTTTTTTACATTTCCCGCTGTTTCTGTGCTCCTATTTGTCACAGTGCGATGTTTTATAGCCTATAGCCTTCCTTGATAAACGCTCTAACCAACACAAAAAGATTTTTTGTCGAACTAGTAGTTCCTGAGATTAGCGCGTTCAATCAAACAAACTCTTCTCTTTATATATTAGTATAGATTAGTTGTAATCATGAGTATTAAATTTAATTAAAATAAAATAAGCGACGTTTTGAGATTTTAATGCCATAAACGTGTTAAAAAGGATGTCCATTAGGCCCGTTGAACTCTCGCACTTCATCCATTATGGGCCCGCGAGACTGCACTTTACGGACCCGAGTTAATACACGTCTGTGGATTCGAATTTAACTCCGTTTAAATATTGACGATGGGTTTATTTGATGCAATTTTTGAATAAATCAAAGTGTTAATTTACTGCTGTTATTACAGTGCAAGTAATCCTTAAGCTGTCTCATCGTCGTTTTTAGTAGAATAGTAGTATTCAGCGTTTAAGATACATTTTAAAACATTTTTACTACTTAAATAAAAGTAAATCTCACAGTAAATGTGAAAGTTTTCTTCCCTGATAGATCCTGTTATTAGTAATATCTGTAGTTCAAGTGAGTATCACGCATTTTATTAAAACACTTTTACCGGTTCAAAACGCGAAATGTATTAGATTAACTTAACTTTTCGCGTTTTAATTATAATAATAAATAAAGTAATAATAAAGTCTACAAAATGTCGAAACCAATTTAAGCAATTCGTGTAAGACGCACTTTCGCACACTAATACAAATGTGCTACTTCACACAACACAAAAAGGTCTTGCTCACTTGATGGTAGGTGGTATAGCCCAGCCTGAATCATCAAAACAAGATGCGCCTCGCGTCAACCTGTTTTCGCTTTGGATATTAGGAAATCCACAGACTAAGCCCGTAACGCGATTAAACTTCACGGCTCTTTCATCTGTGACGGTGGTTCGTGAATTTCGATACCACCCATTCAATATCCACACTTCCAGAAGTCCAACATGTTTCAGAAAAATTATAAATTGGAACATGTTGGACCTGGTGGGGATCAAACCTACGACCCGTTGATTATTAGGCATACATTGCTACCGTTAGACCAGTGATTCCCATAGTGGTCTATAAAGATCCCTAGAGGTCTATGACAATCTAGAAGGGGTCTACGTCAGCGGAAAAAATTTTGGGACTCCATGAAATGAAAATGGGGGTCCACTATAGTGCATCTCAACACAAACAACTGACCTATTTACTTACATCATACTATCTTATAACATCAAAACATATACATTGTTAATAAAAGTACGTATGAAGTAAAAAATATCAAGTTCATCAAGATCAATGTTTAATAAAGATACAAAATTTTAGTTTGAGTAGTTCTAATTTAAAACAATTGATAAATGTACAAATTAACATTTGTTTCTACTTTAAGTTTTTAACACTAAACATCACTACAAAAATTCACAGGAAATCAATAACAGGTAAGTAGGAGGTCTGCCCAACACGGAAAAACATGGCAAGGTGTCTACGACACAAAAGCTTGGGCAACCTTGACTTAGACCAATGAGCCTGTAAAATCTATCTTTCATTGCTATACATCTTTAATTTATTGCTGTATAATTAAAACGTATAAAACTTGAATACAAGTCGCTACCTATAAGCGACATTCCTAATCGTTTTTGATCCAGTG